GGAAAAATCATAATTACATAATAAGTTAGTTTTGATGTTATTAATGATATAAATTCATTTTCTGACATTTCTCCTAGAAATCATTATAAAAGTACTCACATTAAAATTTACCAAAACTACACAGGGTGATCCACTTATCGTAAACCACTCAATATCTTATAGGGTTTAAGAATTTAATAAGAGAAGGTAGAGTTTATTTATGTACTTCTTTACTGTTCTCTCGGTAACACCCTTTTTCCAACCTTGTAACAAAATGGTATTTTTTTCCTTTATTTAAACAAAATTTTTTTTCAGATAAATTATTCTTTTTTTTAAATCACTTTCAAATCATTATTTTTATTTTGGACACATAGCTGATACTAGTGAGCTAACTCAAGTCAAGTTAGAAGTATTTGATTTATATCCACTGTTTTTATTTACACCAATGAATCAAGGTTCAAACATAATATCTTTGAATAATAGTTTCGTATTATACTGGTGACATCATATGGAAGATACAACAAAAAAACATTCACCTATATAATTGGTTAGGAAATTTAGCCGATTTCCAATTTACAATACAATTTAAATGAAGAAATTTAAAAATATTTTGTTGTTTTTGCAGAATTCGATTTTAAAATCATATGAAAAATACAACATAAAATTATTCATGTAAAACATTTTGCCAATTTCCAATGTACAGTTCAAATTTGAATTAGAATATTGAAAAAAAGATTTAAATTCCTGAAGAGTTCTAGTTTAAATAATTATAACATCTTCAACATTTCTGATAACCCATTTCATATAAATATAATCTTTAAAATTATCACATTATTTATAAATTACGAAATCAATACATTTGAAATTCAAGTAGTATAAATGTATGTATAACTATTATGGTGATGGACAGTGTAAAGCGTATAAAAGATGTTTAAACGCATATGTATTTTGTTTTTTCAATGTAGTTTAAAATTTATTCTTTAAATAAATAATCGTGGCTATAGCCTATGAATTTAAAAAAAAAATAGTAGTTGTTTTGCGTTTGACAAACAAGACGAATATAGCCCTATATATTTACCCTATTACCTACTCAATTATCAAACCTGGCTACGACACTTTAAGCTTTAATTACCATTTACATTTACATTTACATTTTATTTATTTCAAGCCGAGAATCGAATATGTCACAAAGCTAAGACTTGCATTATTTATTATAGGTACAAAAAAAGTTAATATCCTAACGAGAAGTATTTGTATAGTATATTAAATAAGATTCAAATCGATTAAATCATGTTCAGATGACCTTCATATTTTTTAGTTCAATATGAAAACATGATATTATTTGAACAATACTCGTGCAAAAACAATGTTCTGTTTATGTACTACAACTTGATAATGGATTTCAATTCCAGACGAGTTATTTTAAAATAATGATAACAACATAAAATGTACATTATTTTTAACACTACAACGTCAAAATGTTATAATATACTGATGGCTTAACGGAAATTGACCTTGTAAAAAAAGTTAATTAGAAACGTTTGGATGTTAAGTTATGCCATTTGAGCGATATTAAAAACTCGTTGCCGGAACAGTAGTATTATACAATATATATGGTTTACATTGCTTAATATAATATAGTTTTGGGGTAAAGTAAAATTTGTTTTTTGTTAATATCCTATCAAGAAGTATTCGTATATTATAATAAATCAGATAGATTAGTATCGTTTTTATAAAATGTATACTAGTAACATAGTACCTCTTGCTTTTTGTTTTTCAAAATGATTAATTCATATATAGGTCGTTGTCTAACATGGGCACAGCTGCGGCGGCCCAAAAATGCAATGTCCTGAGTTCTCTGTATTGTTTTTTTTGTCTTTTATGCCTTGTCGAAGCATGGTTGATAGTAAATGTTTATAAAATTTATAATAATAATAGTAATACACTTGCCTTCGCCGCTGTACAAACTTATCAGGCAATGACTTAAGATCTATGGGAGGAATCTGTTTCAAGGAATTTGTTAATTCACCCCATACAAGTTTCATCCATACGCAGAATTTAATTTATCTTAATAGATTTCAATTGAGTCGTATAACACTTCAAGTGCCGTTTTCATATAATTGTACACACAATTACTCAATTACTTTATAGCTAAAGTACCACTTTGGAGGCATTAAACCTAATAGTTTAAAATGGTTAAAAACGGTTGATTGTTTTTGCATTTGAGCATTGATTCACTTTTCCTAAATCTTTGAGTTTTCGTTTTGAATGCACAATATATTTTTTGATCAATGTAATATAAATAAAAACGTATTCAGATTAGACCTACACACACAGTCACAAAAGTTTTAAGACTGATTTTTTAAAAAGTTTACTGGTAGTGCTATCTAGCCGCTTACACTTGAGCCATATAAAAAAAACCAGTACAGTGGTGTCGAGGCATAGTGGGGACGGGGAGGTCACAGGTTTACAGGAATTTTTTAATTTGAAAGTGATGAAATCACTTTCGAAAAAACGCTTTGATGCAAATCGGTAGTTGGTATTTTCAAGCCAGTACAGTCCAAACCAAGCACAGTAGAAACCAGCAAAGTTAGAAAGTATTAAATTGAGGTGCTGTATTTACAAATAAGCATCAAAGCGTTTATTTGAAAGTGATTTTATTCAATTTTATCACTTTTATTTTTAATAATTCCTGTAGACCTGTGACCTCTTTGTCCCCTCGTTGCTTTGATTCCATTATGCCTATACTCTACTGTACTAGTCCTTTCGGATAAAATCAATCTGTTCAAATTAAAATGAAAAACAACTATAGTATAAACCGCTCATGTTATCATTTTTCGCGAAATCGCTGTAAATTTAGAGTTACTTATATTAAATTCAGTCAATCCGCAACAAGTACAGTTCTGTTCAAATCAACCTAATATCAACTGTAACTTAATAAAATCCATATCCAGTTGATTATATTATGTTGAAAAATTGTTGTTTAATTAAATAATAAAAATTGATAAAGTAAACATCAAACTACGTCATAAATTTTTACTCCGCAATACAAGTTACAACCAAAAAAAAAACTAGCGTTTTTATAGACAAGATTTAGAAATAATATTTGAAACAATATACAGTATTTTGTATCAACTGATTTCATATTTTCATTACATAGCAGATAGGAGCGCTCAACAACATGGCGTTCATACACACGATGATGCCAATAGAACAAAAAATAACACTATTTTTTTCGTTTCTCACATCTGATACATCACGTTTGTACTTGATTGGGAAATAGGTTTAATTTTAATTTAATACAACTGACGTGTGCGGGTATACCAAATAAATATTCCTTAAAAATTTCAACTCGATCCGACTTTTTTTTATCGAAATTATAGCCTTTAAAAGTTTTAACTTAAAAACTCGTACGGTTTTTTTTCAAATTTGGACTGTGAAGAAATAAACTTTTTCAACATTTACCCCCCCCCCCCCCCCAAAAAAAGTACCAATTAGATGAAATTTGTGATTTGTAGAGTTGCTACTCGAAGGAATTGGTTTAGTATTAAAAAAGTTACAGTGTATACAGATCGAAAAAAAGCCCACATCAGAGTAAAACCAATACCTTCGCCGCTCTACATCGAAGCTAAAAGCTTCCCTGTATCGATGTGACATTTTTTATCGATGTACATATCGTAGTTTAGGAGTTGTAACGGGGTTTTGTTTGTTATTTTACTGTGTATATCTCCAGTCTAATTTTCTAATCTTAAATCTTCATGAAATTCTTTTTTTTTTTTTATATTACTCTCAAATTTACAGTTAAAATTAAATACTATACTCATTTTTAAATGTAATTTTTTAATATCAGAAACAAAACTCAGGTTCATTTATATTTTTAATAAGCTGAAAACTAATTATATAACATTTTTATAAATTCATATTGTTTAAAACTAAAATTTACAATACACCCAAATAGTACATTAATCGATTTAAAACAAAAAAAAACACACACCCGTTAGGTTTTTAAGAATTAATACATAAACCTTGAATTTTTATTTTAATAAACTTAAATTTAACACTTGAAAAAGTTTGACTTTTTGGATACAGCTAATGGCGATAAGATGTTGTAATAAATTTGTAGCCCTGAAATATTGATATAAAAAAACAAATTTACAATGCGATAATAGTACATTATGTAAAACTTTATAAAATGTAATATCCTTCAGTTGAGGAAGTCAGGAGTCCTAAAGAATAATAGATAGGTGTAGTCAAAAGTGATAAAATTACTCCAAAAATAATTCTTTAGAAGATAGTAATAAGCATATAATTGTAATTTTGTACTTCTATATTTTTAGGGTTGATCGTGTGTTTACAAATATTGTTACTATGTTGTTACTATTCTCAGATATTTGTTGACCATTTATCTATTCTAACAAAACAACCCGAAATTTACCACGATTAAAAGGTAATTTTCCTCTTTTTCTCATTAGATACTATAAACTTGTTTACTCATTTGGATTAATTTTTTTCTTGATATTTGTTTAATTTGTCAATGCACACATAACGGTAGAGTAATATTATAGAGTTCAGACTCCATAGCTTAAAGAATATTTCATAAAACAATTTGCAATTAGTTGACTTTTTTTCAAAAAGCACGTTATTGTTTTAAGATGAAAAATATGTCATGTTTCGAGACGTTTTTTCGAATTTAAAAGATAGGAGTGTTTTTTTTAAAATAAAAAACAAAACATTTTTTAAATCTTAAACTTAAAATAACAGCGCGCTACGAAATGATTTAAAAATTATTTTTGTTCCATCTCCGTGATGCCCGGTACCTCTGTACTCGCTTTTAATTTTTGTATTCTCTATTTGGACACCTAATCATTAACTTAAAACGCCTAAATCATGTTCACTATTTTTATTTTTATTTATCACACTAAAACAAGTTATCAGCCAAAACAATATATTATAACTAAAACGGTATTGTGTAAGGGTGAAAAATTACTTGCCTACGGCTGCAAATGTTAAAATCCACCACCGGCTGACGTTTTAGTATTTAAAAATCATTAATTTATAAAATGCTTCCCAAGTCATATTGTAATCTAGAATTAATTTTAAAATTATTCACATTAAAATGTAACAAACTTTACAATGATGTAACGAATTGAGTGGTTGCAAATATTATTATTGTGTTTTTATGTACACTGTTTGGCCATAACGGTTATTATGAAAAGAAATCTAAAATCAATAATTTTGTCTGTCCGCTTATTCAGTTAAATAATTTTAAATCGTGCTTAAAAAAAATGTCATACGCAGTGTTATAAAATTAATATTTTGATATTAATTAAAATCAGTCTAATCGTCATTAAATTTTTTTTAATAAATTTTTGTAACATATTTCGTTAAAAAAGTGGACAAAAGCTTTTTACATTTTTAAAACTTGTACTGTCTACGTACCCTCTAATGGTTCAGTTATATTTTCGACATCCGTTACACTTAGATTATATTGTTCTTTTTCCCTCATCAAGTAACTCCTAACAATTTTCTTGGTAATTGGAAAATGGACAGCGAATAATTTAAGACTACCAATTTTCATTGGTTTTGCAGACTCATCATCAATGTCATTATAAATTTTTGCGAGTTGCTAAAATCATAAAATGTTAGTTTTTTAATACAAAATGTGAAAAATACTATTATAGAAATAATTTATCTATAATTATAACTATTATATTATTCACTAGGTTAAAAAAAATTATAATTACACGATAAGTAAATTTTGATGTTACTAATGCTACAAATTCCCTTTCTGTCATTTCTCCAACTAGAAATCATTAAATAAAAGTACGGACATTAAAATTTATCAAACTATATTTATTATACTGTAACGGAAGGAGGGGTTTTAATTATTATTATTTCGTTTTTATGAACAATATATGGCCATTAAGGGTACTACACCTAAAAACAATAATTTTATATGTCCGCTAGTCAGTTTTCTAACAAACTACAATCGCGTTAAAAATACAATTTCTTGGGGATTGTCGTAAAATGAATATTTCAATATTAACTACAATTAGTGTCGCCGTTATAAAAAGTTTAACACTCCAACACGAATTGTAAAAAACAAGATAAAAGCGTTTTATATTTTTATTGTAACTAGTTCTACCTAACAACCTTTACAGACGCCTTCTACATTTTTTTATCCTCGACGCATTTTTCATAATAGTATTAATACTCCGCAGAAATGCAGGAAAAAACAAACTACCCAATACTAATGGACATTTATTTATGTTACAACATCAAAGTGATTATTAGTTTTCACATTTCATATTTATATGTTTTACAATATGTATTAATGAATTAATATTATTCAACGTACCATACACGGAATCGATTATCTTTTTGGCATCCTCATTACTAAATCCAAATCTCTTGCGCGCCTCTGGTTTATTTATGTACTTCGTTACTGTAGCCTCGGTAACACTGTCAGATTGCGAACTATCATATAAAACCGCTCTAAAAAGATCCCTCAATCTCTAAAATTATTACATTCCTATTTTTAATACACAATGTGAATACTACTGTTATAGAATTAATGTGTCTCGATTTTTTATTATTATATTAATCAATAGATTTAAAGAGAATTACATTTTTCGAGTAAATCATATAATTAGATAGAAAAAATTTAAAATTACCCATGGATTTTCGCAAATTCCTGCATTAGCTGTATTAAAGTGAACAAACAAATGTAAAAACAATACACAAATTTTAAAATCCATTATTGTTTTTTTTTTCAGTGCATAAAACATTCGACTACTGTTTCTCAGTTGTTTAAAACTTAGAATGGCTTCTGTTATAGCAAATTCAGTGTAAAGCGTATAAAAGATGTATAAACGCATATGTATTTTGTTTGTTCAATATAGTTTAAAATTTATTTTTTAAATAAATAATCGTGGCTATAGCCTATGAGTTTAAAAAAAAAATAGTAGTTGTTTTGCGTTTGACAAACACAACAAATTTAGCTATTACCTGTTTACTCATCAAAAACAACAATACAAAACGGTATTTTTTAGCTTTATTATAACTAAATTTTTGTATGGACAAATTATTCTTTTTCTTAAATCACTTCCATAAAATTATTTTTATTTTGGACAGTTAATATTTGTATTAGGTTTCTAATACACATAGCTGATACTAGTGAGCTAACTCAAGTCAAGTTAGAAATATTTGATTTATTTCCACTATTGTCAAACTGTTTTTCTTTAAACCAATGAATCAAGGTTCATTTATAATTTCTTTGAATAACAGTTTAGTATTATACTGGTGACATATAAAAAAAGAACATAAAATTATTTTTAAAACTTTCTTGTTACTATAACATAATTAAGATATTATCGTATTTGCCGTGGCTAATTTCAAATTTGGTAGTTCAAGTTGGCATTGAAGTTACAGAATGTTAAATTTTGTTAAAATAAATCATTAATTTAAATTATGTACATAACGACAAATTTCTTTTAAGCAATAGAATTATATTTATACTAGTTGACCATTTTAAAATGATCCACTCACTATCTTATAGGGCTTAAACAGTTATTGATATTTTTTTTCCTAAAAGTTTCTATTTTCTGTTACCTTAACATTTATTTGTTTTTAATATAAAACATGTTAACAAGCTAAAACTTACATTATTTGTTACTACAAAAAGTAGTCAACTTTTGATAATGACAATGTTTTAATTAATAAAAAATTATATTTTAGATTAAAACACTTGGGTCTTAAAAAAACAACAACGGTTGTAAAACAACCAAAATGTTATTTCAAAAAAACTCTTGTGATTTGGTCGATAACACTTGTGTTTGTATCTTGCCAGGCATAACATTTTTAATTCCTGGCAAAATACAAAGCTAAACCTTATATTATTTGTTATAACTACAAAAAATGTTAATATTTAAACGTGAAGTATTCATACAGTATATTAAATAAAATATTTAAAACATGTTTTTGTTTGAACAGTACTCTTGCAATAAAATTTCTGCTTATGTACTACAACTTGATAGTGGATTTCAATTCCTGACAAGTTATTCAAAAAAAATGTATCACATCATTTCATTTACATTATTATTGAACACTACAAACAACGTTGATTAAAACGTTCATCATTTTTTGATCAATGTAATAAAAAAAAAGTATTCAGATTAGACAAATATATCCAGTCTAATTTTCTATTCTTAAATCTTCAAGAAATTAACTTTTTTTGGATTTTGGTAATATTCTTAACGTTCCAGTTAAAATTAAATATTATATTTATTAATATATGTATTTTTTTATTATCAGAAATAGAGACAGCAGCTTAGGTTAATTAGATGAATACTAATAATAATCAGAAAACGATTTATTTAACATTTTTATAAATTTATAACATTTAAAAATAAAATTAACAAGTCATAAAATAGTACAGTAATTAATTTAAAAAAATTGATACGCCCTTTAGAGTTTTATGAATTAATGAATAAATATTTAATTTTTATTTAAATAAACTTAAAATGAATACTTTAAAATGTTGACATTTTTAATACAGAAAACGGCGATATGATTTTGTAGTAAATTTGTAGCTCTGAAATTTTGATATAAAAATAAATTTACAATGCGATAATAATACAATATGTAAAATGATATAAAATATAATATTCTTTAGTTTCAATTCCTGAGGAGTTACTTAAAAAATATTTATCCGTCTACATAATTTATAAAAGTCATATTATATCATCTGATTTAAATATATGTTTATTTAAACTCATTTAAGGTGGTAAACGGTCTTCCAAAATAAGTAAATATTGTGTGTACAATTATAAGAAAACGGCTCTTAAAATGTCGAAAGACTTAATTGATCTCTGTTAAGATAATTCAAATTTTGCGCATGTATGAAACTCGTATGGGGTGAATGAAGATGTCAAACTCTAAGAGACAGGTGCCTCATATAGACGTAAAGTTGTAGTACATAAGCAGAACAATATTTTACACGTGTATTGTTAAAATAATAACATGTTTTCATATTAAACTAAAAAATATGTAAGTTACAGTCATTGCTAGATAAGTTTGTACAGCGGCGAAGGCAAGTGTATTACTATTATTATTATAAATTTTATAAACATTTACTATCAACCATGCTTCGACAAGGCATAATAAACAAAATAAAATACAGAGAACCCAGGGCTTTACGAATTTATCAATTTGAAAAGAAAAAGCAGCAGATATTATGTTACCAGTGCACATTTTATAAAAGCGATACCAAACTATCTGATATAATATAATGTACGAATGTTTCTTGATAGGATATTAGCAAAAACCATATTATACTTAACCCCAAAACTATATATTAAGCAACGTAAATCATGTATATTGTATAATACTATTCTACAACTCGTCGGGAATTGAAATCCATTATCAAGTTGTAGTACAAAAGCAGAAATTTAGTTTTGCACGAATATTGTTCAAATAATATCATGTTTTCATATTAAACTAAAAAATATGAAGGTCATCTGAACACGATTAAATCGATTTGAATCTTATTTAATATAAAATTGTAGTGTTTATTATCTGGCCAAAAGTAACTTAACATAGAGAATTAAACTATTTTGAATTTATTATTTAGTTCTAATTTGAGCGTTGAACGTACAACATATCTCTTATCTCATATCAGATAACAGCGTAACAGATTAATATTCGAAATGGATCCGATAATTGTCTTTCGTCGTCGCTTCGTAGTTTTTGTTACCTTGCGGCGCGTGACAGCGTAACGCTTTTTTGGTAACACTTTTTTTTGGTTATTTACCGGCTGATTCTCACCCCCAACCCCATTCCCATTCCCACCCCTAACCTCATCTTCAACCCTATTTCTTTTTTGGTAACGCTTTTTTGATAACGCTTTTTTCGGTTATGTGCCAGAGCTAAGACATGAAAATGTCAAAAACAGACGATCAACCTCAAAGGTATTGAAGTACTAGAAATACAAATATATGCTTTATACTATCTTCTACAAAGTTTTTTTAGAGTAATTTTATCACTGTTGGTTACACCTTGTTGCTCTTGAAGACTGCTGACTTCCCCTACTGAAGGATATTAGATTTTATATAATTTTACATATTGTACTATTATCGCATTATAAATTTATTTTTATATCAATATTTCAGGGCTACAACATCTTATCGCCGTTCGCTGTATTCAAAATGTTACACATTTTAAAGTATTAAATTTAAGTTAATTTAAATAAAAATTCAAGGTATATGTATTAATTCTTAAAATTCTAAAGGGTGTGTGTGTTTTTTTCTTGTTTTAATCGATTACTGTTATATTTGGGTGAATTGTAAATGTTTTTTTTAAACATTATAAATTTATAAAAATGTTGAATAACTAGATTTTAGCTTATAAAAAATATAAACTAACCTTAGCAGTTATGTCTTTGTTTCTGATAATAAAAAAGACATATCCAAAAATATATAGTCTATTATTTTAACTGTAAAGTCGAGAGTATTATCAAAATCGGAAAAAATTAAATTTTTTGAAGATTTTAGAGCTGAAAATTAGATTGGAGATATAGGTCTATTCTAAATACTTTTTTATTAATACTACATTGATAAAAAATTATATTGTACATTCAAAACAAAAACACAAAGATTTAGGAAAAGTCAATCAATGCTGAAATGCAAAAACAAAAGTCAACTATGTTTAACCATTTTAGGCTATTAGGTTTAATGCCTCCGAAGTGGCATTAACTTTTGGCTTTTGGCACTGTAGGTACGTTTAATTATTTGTATATTATTAGTATAATATTTTTAAGTTTCTTTCATATGATTACACTAGCGAACCAACTCAAGTTAAGTTAGGAATATTTTATTTATTTCCACTGTTGTTAAACTGATTTTTTTTTTAAACGAATGAATCAAGGTTCAAACATAACATACCTTGTACTTATAATATTACTATACCTTATATCCCACTATTTATTTTAAAGAACACAAAATTAATACCTTCTTAGCTTAGCATCGAAGCTAAAATATTTTTAAAACTATCTTGTTACAATAAAGGTATCACATTTTATGTGTTTGCCATAGCAAATTCCGAATTTGGTATTGGTTTTCAATTTTACCCTATACTTTTGGGGCGTGGTCCATTTAATACCTTCTCAGATTGGCATTTTACAGAATGTTCAATCATGTTAATTCGTTTAAATAAATCATTAATTTAAATTATGTACATAACGGCGTAGGTTGACTTGAAAATATTATATTATATTGCTGTTAAAACGAAATTTTTTTTCCAAAAATATTATAAATTAATGTCATAAAGTATAAACCACTAGCACTGGCATGTCTGTTATTGTCTCTTATTATATTTTATACCCATTTTACACTATTTTCACATATAAATTAAGCTAACAATTTTATATTTTTTGCTTTAAAAGTTGTATCAAGCGATATCACTCTATTTAGATTGTTTCTCTACTGTTTTAGACTAGATACACTAGAGTTGTTCCAAAATCTAAAATCCACATAATATAAACTACATGACAACTCGCTTGAGAATATTCTGCAACTTTTAAAACAATTTCCAGCTCTCTAGGAACTATATTTTAGCAATTATAAGGGTTTTAATGCATTTTTTTACTATCATTCCGGTTTTAGCGTGACAACAGTTGACAATAAATCCTATTGAGTAATTATAAAAATAGTCTAACAGTGTTTATTATACAAATGGATATGAATTCTTTTTTTTTTTTTTGTTATCCAATTATATTACTCCGTTATAATATGTAGTGTAGGCCGCACAACATACACGAACAATAACCGTGCATTTTCAAATAAAATACATATCGTATATTATGTTGGTACCCCTTCGAGTGGCTCTGTGTCGTGCACTTGGCAGTGTTGCCTGACGTACGGTAATTACCGTACGGTCTTATTAATGATAGTACATTACCGTACCTCCCACTCACCGTATTTGGTCGGCTTCCTTAACCACGGTTTTCGTATTCGAGTCTGAGAAAATAATATATTTTGATAAATGATTAACGATAGTAGTTATCTAAGAGATTTGATTGTTTGAACTTCTAAGTTCGAATTTTGTTATAATAATAATCTATATTTTGCTAACGAGAAAAAAATATAATATTGTATTAAATTATTATTATTATTATTACACATGACGTATAGAATAATACATTTATTTATAATAACTACTAGCTGTTAATAATCGTTGCACGTTTTGATACTATTTATTTACAACCGACTGTATTTGATTTGGCAGTCAAATGGAAACTTCTAGCCAGTATAGCATGCGATGGAAAGATTTCCCATCACATTTCATGTGTGAATTCGAATCTTTGCGCAATGACGAACGGTTTGTGGACGTGACGCTGTGCTGCGACGATCAGTTCATAAAAGCCCACAAAATTATTTTGTCCGCATGCAGTTCTTATTTTAAAAAAATATTATTGGTAGGCATATTACTCAGATTTGTTATTTAACAATTTTCAGCAGCTTTTTTAGAATTTATTGTTCAATCAATATAATATAATAATAGCTTTGCACGATTGCTTTTTTCCAGATGAATCCGTCAAAACACGTTACAGTCATAATGCACAATGTCGAATATGAACTTATGAAAATGCTGATAGATTTTATGTACTTGGGAGAGGTTCACGTCAACCAAAACAACGTCGACAGGTTTTTCAAATTGGCCAAAACGTTCAACGTACAAGGATTTCAGAACGATGTAAACAAAAACGAGGTACCCAGTAGACACATAATAATAATACTAATGACAGAACAGATATTTTCAACAAACGAGCCAACTTTTGGAACTTGTTAATCTTGCCAACTATCTTGTACTTTCATAATATATTTTAGAGTTCGGTTTCGCCTTCGCTGTGTGAAGCTATAGAACAAGACGTACCGAAAAATGAAATTGTCGATCCGGTAGACGGACACAGTAATGGATTGTTTTCTGGATTTAATCAGCTCGTCGACACTAATGAAACTGCTGTATGTTAATTATTTGATTTATTAAACCCTTTATAATGACCGACTTAAATTTATTTTCACTTAGAAACGAAGGAAAGTGGAAGGCAGTTATTGGCCATCGTCGGTTGAAGCGGCTCCAATGTCAACACCCGACAAGCAAAAATTCCATTCGTTGGACCCGAGGCCTTGTCCCGAGTGCGGACGACAGTATAGTAGCTTGTCGAATTTGAGGCAACACATTGAACTGATTCATAAACCAGGTTGTGTCGTCTGTCCTTTGTGTGGTAAAACATTCAAGAACAAGTTATATTTACGACGTCACTTTATAAGTTTTCACGAAATGTTACCATCTAAAGTTCAAAACCCATCCGATCCAAACATACCGTACACGTCAAATACTATCCATTATCAATCGGATTCGACAGAACGATTACAGTTAAAGCCCCAAACCAGTAGCCAGCAACAAATTACAGCATCTTGTTTTGATCAGAGTCTGCATCCCCATTAGTTGTGAAGAAAAATTAATATAAAAAAAAGTTTTGTAAAATCAAATTTTCGTTGACTATTTCTATTATTTTCCAAAATTGTTTTCAACTTGTAAATCAATTCAGTGCATTTATTGATTAAGCTGAGTTTTATCAAGTCAATATTTGATCACCGCAATTAATTATTGTTATGTGTAAATAGATACACAGTTTGATAATTAATTTCCAACACAACTATATCATATTGTACTAATAAAAACTAGATTTGTCTTCCAAAAATGTATGTGTTTTAGAGGCTATTTTGTTGTCTCCCTAAAACCGCCACTAACTATGTGCAATAAAAAACAAATTGAAAAGATCACACAAATTTTATTTTATTTTTGTTAGTAATTTGTATTTTTAATTTTATAATTTTTTTGATCTCGGAATATAAACTTAAATGTTTTGTTTTAATACACAATAATACGAATAACCTACATAAGTGACGACTACTGTTTAAACTACGGTCTAAAAATGTTTAGTTGTTGTTAAGACTGTTGGATTTGTAGTAGAGTATTTTCTATATTATTTATCTTGTAATTATTATTGTTTACTTGTAAAAGTTTATTTTTTAATATGTTGTTGTTGTAAAAAAAAAAACTAATAATGTACAAATATAATATATATTGTGTATATAAAAATTCGCGTTGTTGTCGTGTGGAAGATTTGGTTAAATATAAATTTAAGTTTCTCAAATCTTCTTTCTTTAGTTGTACTCATGTTTTATGGCGTATTTCATAGGTCGAGACATTTCTGTCGGTACGGTGATGATACTGACGACAAGATTTTGGAGACGATATATATTTTGAATAAAAACTTTTTTTACAAAACCCAGTCACAGTTTGAATATTACATTGTTGTCGACGCCTAATGTAGGTGCTGCATCATCATCATCATCATTAGAATGTCATCATCATCATCATCATCATTAGAATGTCATCATCATCATTATAAAGTCATTACCATTAGTGTAGCTTATATAGGCATAATCCAACCTAAACATGGGTTGAGAAACAATTTGATAAATGAACGGTTTTTTTGTGTTAGCTACAGAGTACAACTTTGATCCCAAAAAATAAACAGTATTGTATTTCACATCCATGTCAAGTTATCGAGAAGTCCAGTGCGTACTCAAAAATGGAAACAAAACCGCTCGATAATTAAGGATGAAGGTTGCGACTCGCAATCTGTCAGATGATATAATGAAATTCCAAGTACACTCGTTGTTTCTTATAAATTAGATATTATTAAATGTTTATTATGATAAAGCGGTATTATCGTTCAATGATTGTGTACAGTACACCATTGTAACTTAAAATACAATTTGGGTAATAATTACTCAACGACTCGGCTAAAAGTCTAGTTGTTGTTAACTCTAGTAAAATAATGTACATAATTAAGACTAGGAACTAGTGTTAGCTGAAATTAGCGATTATTATACAAAATAATAAAAATTAAAATTAAATGACTAATGTCTGCTATTTTAAATAATTATCAAGACTTAAAATATGACACGTGACTCGTGCGTTACACTGGCAAACATGAAATACGAACAAACAGTATAAAAATAATAAAAAAAATATTTAAAAACCACAATACATATTAGACAGCATTATAAATAATTATTAGTGCCTAATCTATTTTCTAAAAAATAACAATATAAATTATATAATAATAAAAAAAAACACACGAACACATTTGTGAATATTTATAGTTATAGTAATTAATAATAATAATAGTAATACAATTTTAATAACAGTCATGGAATTCTTACTTAAGAAAATTAAAGTATTTGTATTTCGTTTATAGAAATTTTACGGGGGGGGGGGGGGAAATAGGATAAAACTGTTTTATTACAAACTTTTAATAACTAAATTTAGTTATTACAAGCTGCTAGATAAAGATCAAAACCGTATCAGTACTACTAATAACAATGAAATAAATATTGTTCGACTAAAATTGTAATAATATAATAAACATCAAATAGAACACAAATCAGTGTTTATGTAAAACAAAAATAAAACGACGTAATACCTTTAAAAAATTGTAAACACGATATTTGACTCGTACGATATTTTTAATTTAAGCAAAACACAGATGCGATAATATATTGTAAAAACTCAAAATGTGATGTAACGTAAATAGGAGATTCTAGAATTGTTTAAAAACGTTTTCAGGCACAATAGATATAATTTACACACGTATGTTATCTTATATACATCGGAGGAATAATTTGATCTGATTTGTCATTTGTTTGCATTGATGTTAACCCGATCGGTCACAATTCGCAGTGTGTTGAACACTTTTTTTTAGACCAATTTTTTTTAATTGGTCTAAAAAAAAAGAAAAAGTTTTTACCAACTCCCGGTTAACAAATTTGTTTATCGGTCATAAACCTATCTACCATAATTCATAATATTATGATGGATAGAATTTGTTGTCTTGCTGTCTTATGATATTGACCACATAGTGTTCCAAGACTTATACAAGAGGGCGAGCGGACCGATTGGGTTGTTGTTGTTGTCTTCGGGTTTTAATTTTTGTAAGTATTAACAGCCCGTATGGCACAACACAGTATCAGCGCCAACACTAGGCCGAAGAACTCGACCGAACCGATTGCAACCAAAACCACTAAGAACATAATCATGCTTTTACGCGAGGTGTACAACAGCTTTTCGGTGCAACCCTAAAAACATGAATACAAAATTATAACTCGACCGTAATTGTAAACAAATGTTTTGCGCCTGTATAATACCTCGGAATAAATTAAATTTGACACCGGTCCAGAGGCCACGGCAGTTTGCGCTTCTGAACATTGTTTCGGTACAGCAGTGGCTTTACAACAGGACGCCGGTATTTTATACGACTGTTGCGGAGAGCTAATTGCTAGTTGAAGACTTTCCATTTTATCCGTCTCCGGATTATTATACTTGCTTCCAGCCCAATCAAAAGGTCCCGATCCGCCGCAACATTCAAGCTGAAATTAAATAACGATATTTGTTTACAATGCGTGTCATCAAGTATTGCTGCATCAAGGCTCAAACTTACACCACTTTGGATAGCGTCAAATGTTTCGGTACGACCCGGTATGACACCGTATTCTGATTGAACAGTTGTTTTTACAGTGTGTTTGACCAATTCTTCTAGTTTGTAGTTGTTGGCATACATCCAAATAGCAGCTGATATTTGGGCCACAAGAACGGTGAGCAATAAGCAAAAGTACTGAAAACCAAAGTCGAAAGAATATTGTAAAATAAAATACATTTACGTGAGTAATATAACTTGACAGCGGATGTTACCAGGACAAGTGAACACTGAGATTCACTGATGGCAGCGGCGCAACCGAGGAAGCCGACGATTAACAGCAAAGCACCCACAAATAGAATCAAATATACACCAGTATAGTAACTCGCTTCGTCCTGGGTCATACTTATCGAAAAAGTCGGATCCACCCACATCCATATTGCTAGCACCATCAACAGAAATCCGCATAGCTAAAATGACAAGAAAGGTTTTAATCACACAAATATTTTATTGTCGTTATTTATTTCCTCCCGTCGGTGAAATCTGCCTAAGACGGAATCACTCGAGCCAGTTAAAAAAAAAAAAACCGTATTAAGCAGTCGCTCGTCTTGTTCAATAAAAATATGTGCCAAGTGGTTATTACAGTTTTTAAAAAACCTGATAACCAATTGCAAGTTGTATTATTATAAATTACTGTTTTTCCAACAGATGGTACAACGTTTTAGAGCAAAATTTTTGTTTAGCCTATATTAATAACATTTGTTAGGTAAAATTATACAATTTAACGTAAGACACTGAATTTCAGCCATTGCATTCCAGCGTCACGACCTGACCGATTTATACGATTAACGCTTCTCCTAGGAGGAAACATATTATTATTTTTAAACGATTTTAGTGCGAATGCTATAATATTATCAGGACAGGCGGTCACCGTAATAATAATGAAACAATTTTCATAAAAAAAAAAAAAAAAAGTCAGCAGATGGTGGCCAGATGTCGGAACGGCTCGAGTCCTGCCCAATAATAGGCCGATACTTACCAAATAAAGAATATTGAGCAGTGTAACTACGTGCTTCATAAACGCATAACATCCGGTCAAAGCCATTTTCAATGTAATTTTCTCGTACCACAAAAACGAATAAAAACGTACGGCGGCGGGGGTCGAGCAAACTTTTGCTACTTTGACAGCTTTGCGCTTTCCTTAAATGGTCATGTCGTTGTCAGAACTGTCTAAGTTACGAGTACACAACTACAGTTTACTACACTACCCACGTCGATCTCATATTATTATTATCACTATATGTATACAACAACAACAAAAACAACACGCCCGTTATCACGCAACCGTTCGTCGGTTGGCTACACTGCGGGCGCGCCCGGGGCGGTCTCAGCGGCTGGCAGCACTGGCAGCGACGATATTTTCCAATATTAGTCTTGTGTGATAAATGAAAATATCATCGCTGCCCAGGATGACAATAACAACCTTGGGTCGTTTCCAATTTCCAAATAATATATTGTAGCAATAATAATAATAATAATAATACTAGAAAAAGAAAAGCAGAGGACAGCCGAGTTACATTTTTTTTTTTCATTTAGATTCAACTTGACAAAAGGTTATTACGGCAAAATGTCCGTTTGCAGTTGACATCGTCGTTGGTTTTTTCTCAGTCGCGTCGCACGTCACATTTCCATTGCACTATTGTTGTAGTTGTCGTAAAAGCCTTTCAGAGGAATCGCACGACAATGTCTACGCCAGCCAGGAGAAGGTTGATGAGAGATTTCAAACGGTAAGTACCTTTTTTTTGCAGTAGTAGTGGTAGATTTGCTGCAAATCTCTACCAGTGTTGTGTGTGCCCCTTTTTAGATTGCAGGAAGATCCGCCGACCGGAGTGAGCGGAGCGCCGACAGACAACAATATTATGATTTGGAACGCCGTAATATTTGGGTAACGTTCAATAGATTTCATTTGTTGTCGTCTTCAACATTGACTAATCAATTAATTGCATTGCATTACAGTCCTCACGATACACCGTTCGAGGACGGTACGTTCAAATTGACGATCGAGTTCACCGAAGAATACCCAAATAAGGCGCCGACCGTCAGGTTCGTGTCGAAAATGTTTCATCCAAACGTCTATGCCGACGGCGGTATATGTTTAGATATTCTACAAAACAGATGGAGTCCTACTTACGACGTCTCGGCCATACTAACTTCGATTCAAGTGAGTCATAAATCTAAATGTGGAAAATAGTATTATATTAACTTTGTTACGCTGTGCTTGTTTTTTTTTCAGTCTTTACTTAGTGACCCGAACCCGAATTCACCTGCCAATTCAATGGCTGCCCAACTATACAAGGAGAATCGACGCGAATACGAGAAAAGAGTAAAAGCTTGTGTAGAACAGAGTTTTATAGATTGATTTGTCGGTTTTAAATGTCTACAGCATTATTCACTTTTCATCTTTAGTAACTTCTGTATAATATGAAAAAAACTAAATATATATGCATACTTATATATTCACACATTTCCCGAAAAAGTCGATGTTTTCATTTGATGAATATGAATACATTATAATTATTGATTTGGCGAACCTTCGTTATTTTTTGTCGCTTAAAGTAACATAATACAAACCTAATTTAATACAAAAGAAAAATGTTTGTGATAGTTAATGTAAAAAAAAAAAATCACTTGTTGTTTTAATTTTTAATTTTATTTTTTAAGTTAATAATACCTAGTCTTGTATAAATAAAAAGTTGATAGTGACGGCAATAAGTCACTTTAGAACCAATTTTTTTTTTAATTATATATATATATATATTTTTATCATTATTAACGTTTTATTGGAAAAGTTATTTAATTAATACGCTCTATTACAAAGAAAAAAAAACTGTTCGACTTTGTTAAAAATTTTAGATATGAATAAACACTTAGTACACGAACATATATATTTTTTTCTTTTTTTTGACCTAACTATTATTATTTGACACTCGTCAAAACTTTCGGATAACATAACATTCCGATAAAATACGTTTAAAAAAAAAAATCTTTTACTTGTGAACAATTACTAAAATTGGAGATTGAAAAAGTTGGCAAGATTACACACGAGAACAAAGCGGTTAACATATTTATGAACCTTTTTTTAATCGAGTATTCAGTGTAATAGTTTATTTCAGTTCGAGAAATATATCCAGTGGTGAGCAATATCTAAATTATTTAATAGTTGGTAATTAATATTCAATTACAAATTACTTTTTATGAACTATTGCAAGTCCAATTCCTCTTCAAACAGGATGTTTTTTTAACAATTGCTACAACTAAATTCAACTTGTAAAGGGATTTTTAAAGAACCACCCAGTGTATTTGATCACAATGGTTTCTCGTCGTCGTCGATGGGATCGAAAACTAATAATATAATAACTAATTATTAAAAAATATTTATTATATTGGTAACAATATCAATTGTATTTACTCAAAGTTGTAACTTATAAAATGATTCATGTATGGCTTTTACGTTCAAGTGTTGTTTTTTTCTTATATAATACATAATATATACACACAATCGTCAAAAATGTATGCTTAAGTACATTTTTTGTCTTTTTATATCAAAAGTAAATTGTAAAACTCACAGAATTATAATTATATGACAATTTCTGACAATAATTATCTGAAAGGTATTCTTGATATGTAAATATTAATAAATATAATACATATGTAAAAAAAAAAAAAAAAAATGTTTACAAGAACCGGCAGTGTACACAAACAATTCGACCAAACACTAGTTCGGTTTATCGCTCATTGATTTACTTGGTTTCCAATATTGACTTGGAGTTCTTCGTGATGTCTTTCTTTTTTAAGTAGTTCTATGTCCATCAAGCCGACGGTCAAAGGATCGTCGGTGGGTTTCGTTATGCTCAAGTTATACGTATTGGCCTGCAGAATTTAAATATTTAAATTAAAAACAAACATTATTAGTTAAGTCACATGTATATATATATATATAATTTACCAGCATTAAAGAAGATAAAAAATATCTAGCCACTTCGCCCTGCATCAGTCCAGAAACTAGTTGCTCAAACGATTTCTTCACTCCTTTTTCTTCGAAACAGTCGAGTATTCGTGTATGTCGAACGCGGTCCTCCTCTCTTCGTCTTCCAAAATCGGTCGCAGATTATCGTGCCAAGCTTGCACGCGTTTTCGCATTTCCAGTTGTTCGTTCATCTAAACAATCAAAAGCCGTTTCACACAATATTAGTAAATATTATACATTGTGTTTTCCATTCTTGTCACATTAAATCAATTTTTTTTCTTCATACATGTTCAATTTGATTTTGCTCGTGTTTTTTCATATCTTCAATGTTTTTTTTGTACGTCTGGAAATCTTCAACCGCTACGTCGGGTTCTTGTAAGTCTGGTTCCCCGTTGTTTTCGTTGTCGACTATGTCGTAGAAACCTTCGAAACCGCCTAAAAAACACAAATGTTAAGTAAGAAATAATTATCTTATTAAAAAAATAAAAACACAAATTTTACCACCGTTCAATAAATTGTCGTATAAATCTTCATTGTGATCTGAAATGACAAATATAACATTGCATAAGTAATGAACAAAACTCGTAACGAGTCGAAAAATAACATATTAGTCTAAAACATTATCCGTAACCGTGCGACACAAATGTAGTCATGACAAAGCAGAATTTTGGCCTAAGTTTATTTACCTTCGTTATATATTATATCTTCATCTGTAAAAAAAAAAAAATTGCATTTGATTGTTAACAGACTGTTAGAAGAACTAATACTAATGTAAAAGATCTTTATTGATCATTAGAATAAAATTGGTATTTTATTACCATTATTGGTATATTATTTTTATTAATAAAAAAAAAATTCAATTCATGCGTACCTTTAGTATTTTTCGGTCTCTTTTTGGCAATGTCCGATCTCTGTATGCTTTGTGCTTTTGAAACTAATTCTCTAAACGCAGGATCGACTCCCAGGCCAGTTTTTAATTTGAAAATTTCCAAAAATAATTCAGAAATCACATAAGTCGGTAAGTATATGCCGTCGTTGTTGTCCTAAACACAACAAGTACGTTTCACTAAAATCGCTACGATGAATTTTATTAACGAAAAATGTAGTCCGACTTACTAACGAAAATTGTATAATTTTTTTAACACACGTACCATTTTTTTGGATTTCACTTTGAGATTTCCATTTTTATCCGTACTGTACATGTCCGATTTGACGTCGGTAACTGCAAGCCAACAATCGTCTATGCTCTTATTGGTTTCGGGTATTTGACTGACGTTCAACACGTTTGCAGGGCTGTAAGGAAAATAATACAATACACAATTAATTTGAATTGTCTAATTTTTTTTTTATTGATTACGCATACTTCATTGCCATTGCGTTGGCCACACATATTTCGTCGGCAACAGTTTGGTCGAAAACAACAGGTTCGGGCATTACATGCGAGTCGTCGTGGTCAGCGTTTATCTCGACGTCGTTTAAACTCTGTAACTGAAATAGACCAAAAAAAAAAAAAAAAAATGTAATAAAATTATTGTATTTATTATACATTTTTTAATTTCAGATTAATTATAACACTAATTACCGGGTGAATATTCTTTTGAAATTCGGGCGGAGGGTTGTTTTTCAGTTCGTCGTTAGTCGGACAGTCAAATTCTTCGTTCACCGCGTAAGTTCGGTTCAGGCAATTATTTACCCTGTGGATAAAAAAAAAAAGGACCGTATACAACTTTTTTTTTTATACTTATTTTTATCGCTCACATAAAATCGTATTTTTTTCAGATGTTTTCGCCGTTTCCGATAGATATATACGGTAGTATTTGATTGTACTTGTTGTCGACCTTTATGTTGGCGTTGAGCACCATCTTAGATACGGGCGGCAATTTCGTTAGATTTATAAGTTTACAGTCGAATTTTTTCACTAGACTAACAAAGACAATCGACCAATTAATATTATAAACGATACACTATTTTTTAATCAAATCAAAAGCATTTTTTATTATTTTTTTTACACGTACATTTCGACTCAGCAAATATTTGTCCTTTGATCGGTTCAAACGTGGGATAATACTTGACTTTTTTTTCTTTTTTATTTCTCTTGTTACCCTCCACGTTTTCTACATCGTCCCCTCCTCCTTCGTTTTCTCCATCTTTCTGGTGCACTCGACTGTACAAATATACACAAAGTATATAAAATATATGCATTATGTATATATTTAATAAAAACTTACTAGGCTCGAAATTTCCTGACTAATTTCATCATGGAATCGACCAAGTGGTCGACTCGTTTTTGATAAATCAGTGTTATGTTTTGAAACATGAGCGCGGCTTCGACAAAGTCAACAGAGTCGCCTTCCCGAAACTCTCTTAAATGGTATAAATACGAATCCAATTCCTAATGGGGAGGGAAAAAATAATAACAACAACAAAATATCGTCTAAACTATTATATTTTTTTACCTTGATTAGGTTGTACTCGTAATGGTTCGTCTTGGCGATCAACTCTATTGGTTGTAAGAGATTTTTAAACGCTTCGTCAAAATCGCTGTCGTCTTGATATTTTTGCACCGCTAATTCTTTATACGTATAATAAGTATGAATTTGCATTATATATATATATATATATAATTAATTTTTGCAATTATTTACCTTCGGGATCTTTCCGACCGTTCTTGTTTGTACTCGACTCGTTGTCTGCCCATCGTTTAGTACTTCTACGAAACGCAGCCATTATCAACTTGTCGCTCTTGGAGTGGTTTTATTCTGAAAATATGTGCATCGATAATGTGTTGTCGTTAGTAAATGATGCAAAGTGTAAAACAGTTTTTATTTAATTCAATAACATAATCTTTTATACAAAGTTGAAAATTATTCTAATTTTTTTTATTAAAACCCAATTCACAAAAATTATGTACTTAACTAAAGCAAATATACATATTTTGACAACTATGTTGTCGTCTTCGGTGCCGTAAAGTTTGGTTAATCAGTAAAATTAATTATTTTGATTAATTATAAATTAATAAGTTTGTGTTTGAATCACATATTTTCCCAATCTAACTGTAATTGTGTTGTATCTATTTCTTTTAAAGGTCAATAATCAATATATTATAATATATAATACAAACGTTACAAAAAATAAACCCATAGGTTTGATATAATTACTGTTACTTTTGTAGATAGTTTTTTGAAGCAGATAATTTTTAGGTGATAAACTAAATTACCATTACACACACACATTCCTTATGGTCATGGTTAGTCCGTATTGATTAGTTTTCATTTGTTTATTATTTAATTCAAGATAAAAAAACGTATATAAGATAGAACGAGAAATAAAATGCAGACAGTTTCGTATTGTACTCAGCTGCAGAAACACTTTTAATTTACAGGCCTTGAAAGTTCAACTAATTTTTTTTTTTTCGTTTTCTCAACTGTAGTTTATATTTTACTAGTAAGTAAAAAAAAAAAATTTAGCCCCCCCAAACCCAATTGGCTTTTTTTATTTCAGTAAAATTCTTATTTAATTTTCTATTACCTAAAAATGTATAAAAACCGTATTTTTTTTCAAATGTGCCTTTTTTATAATATATAATTCAATACTTAGGTTTTTTAGACTAGTTGGATAACGTTTGATTGTGGTGTCATTTTACACGAGGCAACTTCTGATGCTTTATATTATTCTGGTTGCGAACGCCAACCGTCTGGCGGCAAGACCTATTGGGAAGGTGGGGTGAAGGGTTGTTATTGTCATTTTAGACTACTTTTTCACAGCTAAGTATAAACAAATACAAAATATAAACATTGTATTAGTAGTCTTATAATGAAAAAAAAAATTTAACGATAAAAGAGATTGCTGTAGGTATATATATATATTAATAATAAAGCAAACTTGGGGGCGCGTAAAAACACCGAAAATAAATCGGCAGAACCGTATTTTTGCCGAAAAATAAATGATCAGAAACACAAACTAACAGAACTGTATTTCTACCGAACTATCAATTAACAGAACAGTATTGTAGCCGACAATATTTAAGTCGAAAATAAATCGGCCGATCCGTATTTTAGCTGACACATATTTTGATCGACACGCATTTTAGCCGACACGTATTTTAGCCGAAAATAAATCGTCCGAAAATATTTTGACAGAAACGTATTTTAGCCAACACATATTTTTTTTACCAGTTTTTTAATCATTATCTGATAAACTTTATACCTAATACCTAAAACTGATACTGCAAAACATTGTTTTTTAATTTAATTAACACTGTTTATGTACGCTGCATTAGTTTGTATCCACTGGCATATAATATCGATTCAGATATCAATGAATCCCTCTAAATTCATAAAAAAGGCCTTTTTGGTTAGATTATCTAAAAATAATAGATGTCACCAGCTCAAGTACTTCAGAAGGTCAATCACGCATGTGCTCAGTGAGCTTAGTCCGTTACAGTATAGCCAATATTTTATATTAAGAAATATTAATTATTGCTACCGATTCAATTGTCATACTACATAATATAATACATAATTTTTAATGAATATATCTTAATAAATATTTAATAAAATCCTCTACTATATTGAATAGAAATTTCATGATTAATTTGGTATCAAACCAAGAGATTGGAGATCGCAGTAATAGAAGTTACAGAACATTTTTTTTTTAGTTAGTGTTGACTTTTAATGATAATATTCAACTAAACAAAACTATAAAAATAAAAAAAGGGCCATAACAAGTGTATTGGACTCCGCCTCAAGTTATTTCATGCAAAAAAAAGCGAAGAAAATGATTTTCAAATGTGACTTCTTTATTGAAAACATGCAATTTTTAAAAATAGATGTTGCTTTATTAAATTCTGTTCAAATTACTAGACCGGTATTTAAGGCTACCATGACTAGGTTAAGGTCTTAAATAATGGCATTCCAGTTTTATGTTTATTTCTATTCAGTTTCCGATTTTAATACCTTTGCAGAAAATAAAGTATTGTTAAAAAGATAAAAATCATATTAAAGTTGCCAACAATTCCTAATGCCACATAATGATAGTGTTGCAATTATATTTAGATCAATAAAATATAACCTCCAAACTAAAATACTAAAATCTTGGAACTTTGAGCATCGTAAGTGAATTTTTAAAATCATTAGACTTCGTAGATATTATCCGAACTTTTGCAAACGAAAAATCGAAGACAAAAGTTATGTATGGATGAAGAGGATAAACAAGCAATAATAACTAGTGACTGATTTTATAATATAAATTAATATATACCTATAATTTAATTATTTCAATTTGACATGATTATAAATATTATTTATTTTCATAAATAAAATTATGCAACATGATATTTTGAATTATTAGTAATTGTAGTTTACACCCATCCCCTCATCACTCAACACTGAAAATGTCTTATAAAAATTGTAATATATTTTATTAGTATTAACAGAGTTGTCATTTGTTATTGGTACTTAAATAAATTTGTCACGATGTTAGCCTTGTTAATGTATATATACAAAGTATAATGATACCTACCTGGCAAAAAATATATAATATAAACACCATAAAAAGTTTTCATATTGTAGCTTTGATACAGAGCTGAAGGGGTAGTAGGTGTAAGTTTTACAATGATATGCCCTTTGAAAAATAATGAAATTTGGTCATAAAATTTTATAGAAATATGTATTTTTGGAATATTATGTTACTATTTTCAACTATAGGGTTATAATGTTCTGTATGTAATGTTTTGGTATAATCATATTTTTTGTTGTTGTATTATGGGTTGTCTACATCATATAGTATTGCTACTGCCCTGTAATTTGTAACGTAAAACCCGGATTTGCGTGAATACATACAGTGATTTAATACTATAAATTCACCAAATTTGTATAGACATTCAGTGAAATTAATTATTGAAAATTTAAAAACTCCTAATTACAGATTATAGCAAGACTATATTTACTGTGAAAATAAGGTTATTTTACAACAATTCCTAGACACTGGTTAGATTTGCTTACAATTATTTTAACGGGGAAAAATGTATTTAAAAATAAACTGATAAAGAATTCGTATCGCTGTATAACTCATTACTCGATTACATTTTACAAGTATAGAGAGATACTAACTTTTTTAGCCCAACAATTTGGGTTGCCAATCAATATAGCATAATAATCAATATTAAAATACTTAAGACATCAATTTAAAATAACATATCACAATTAACTAGAGACAATGTTTGCACAGTTAGGATACACAATACAATAATTAAATAAATATAATGATAATATTCGACAGTTAAGAATAAAAATATCATAAAGATAAATTAGTTCAAAGGAATCAATAGAACCATAGTTTAAAATCTAAAGTATTATTTTTAATTTTAAGAAATCGATATATTTTATGTATCTTATGTTTATATAATTTATGTTTTAAAAACTGATTTTGCTCTAGAGAACACTGATGTTTAATATTTTGAAATTTTATTTATAGTAAACCATTAACAAATATGAATGTAAAGTCAATAATGATTTGTTAGGAATTTAGCTGATCTACTCTATTTGCAAAAGATAAGACAATAAAAAACATAACAGAGCATTTTCAATAAACGAACATATCAAGATGTTTTTGTTTTTTAATATCCCGATTAGTTGATAAACTCTCCCACCATTAATAACCTAACCATAGGTAACGTAACCCAAATAAAAATAAAATATTATTTCGGGCATCACATGTTTTTTAGAACCTTTTTTGATAAAAAAAAGTAAACAATATAATTGTTCACCATAACCTTAATAAATTTTCGATTTTATTAACAGTACTTTTTAGATTTTTAACGAGTTTTAAGTTTTTTATACGTTAAAAATCCAAACGTACCGCCGGGCGCCGACCGCAGCCTGCAACGGGTACTGAGTGTCGGACACCGGGCGGAAAAATAGCGCGAATGCGCAGAAACCAAAACGAGTTGCTCAGCGCCTGCGCAGACACAATGAATCCGATAACAGAAGTGTCGGCTAAAATACGGTCGGCGTAAATATTATCGGTTACAATATTTTCGGAGATATAATTTTCGTCGTAAATATGTTTCGGCTTAAAAATTGTTCGAACAAAATATTTTCGGCGTAAATAATTTTCGGTAAAATTATGGTCGGACCAAATATTTTCGGCTAAAATATTTTCGGCTTTTTTATAGCCCCCCCCCCCACCAAACACCGGCAAAAGTTTGAAGGTTATTATAAATTGACAACATATCTATTTTTTTATTTTAAATACTCAACAAAAACATGTAACAGGTTACACGGATAATAATTAATAATTGAAATTTAGGTTTTGGAATGTGTGACTTAACAATATAACTCCAAGAGTAATACAACTCGATTATTTGACAATATAATATTGTTTTAGATGTAATGGCCAATCATTGGAATAAAATAGATCTTCCTCAGCCAATACCAATAAGTCACCGAGCCTTTGACAAAGGTGGGATAAATTACCAATAAATTAAAAACTCAGGAGATAGTATAGTTTATTATATTAATTACTTTTTATATACTCACTTTCGTTTTCAATATTATAAATTGTTTCATGTGATAGCAATTGCAAAGATAATGATAATTTTACCTACATTTTTTTCTGCTATTTACTATTTGATTACCTACGATGTTAGTGTAGTAACACTATAACAATAGTAACACTTAATCGAAAAGAAGCTCAATAATTGTACCTAGCTATTAAAATGTACTATAAACTAATTATCTTTATTATTAAGAAAATATTAAAATGTAATATTTTTCAGGTGAATCTGTTAGAATAAAACATGATATTGAAAACATAATGCCAAAACAAGCTGAATGGGACATGCACAAATTATATGATGAAGGAGCTTTAATTTCAAGACTGTATTCTAAAGTAAAAAGGAAATTCAGGGGAGAGAAACTCTTTAGGCGCCTAAAACAGGTAACTAAGTTTAAACATTTTAATTACCTAGTTGTTTATTTTAAAATAGCTGTTTTAGATACAAATATATCTTAGTTTATAATATAGTAGTGTTGCGTATTGGTTGAAAAGTTAATGCCAACTCAATTGAAATGTACTACTACTAGTGTTTAGTTTACATTTTATTTAATTCTATCGCCTTTAATTAATATTTATTTAACCTATTACAAAAAAATTTTTTTTTTTTTTTACAGATTACTGTAATAGTTAGAAAACTTTATCATATTAATGTTCCACAAGTTATTTCATTGTTGTTATTAAGTTTTGAAGACGGCGGAATGCCCACTAAACAATTAGGCCAATGGGCAGGTGCACGAATTTTTGCTTCTTATAAGCTTATTGAAAGACTGCAAATATTCAGTAGAGGAGTGGCTGAATTGATAATCAAAGTATTTCAACATGGACAGTGTTGGGTAGAAATGGATATTGCACTTGCTATGGTCAGCAGAGTATGGATACTTTCTAAATCGTTGCAGAATTTTTACACCCGTTTGTATCAAAAATATTTACCCATTATTAATCAGTTAAGAACGGCTAAAACCGAATGGTTGTCAGATTTTGAATTACCAACTAGCGTTGATTGCAATGTTATTGAAAACAGTTTAAGGTAATATTAATTACAATAATTAATATATATTTATTAAATTAATAATAAATATTATTTTAGTGACTCTGATGAATCTGTTCAAGAATTAGTACCTATGCCTGGTGCAGTTATGAGTAGAAGACCTGATTTTAAAGATAACGTCAAAAAAAGAAAAAGACCCAATTTTAAAGATAATACAGTTAAAAAAAGAAAAAGACCAGGAAAGCAAGTTCGAAAGGCACATTTGCTTCATAAACATAAAAGCAAAGTTACGAATAAATGTAAAAAACTAAAAGTTGAATAATTGTATTTGTTTTTATTATTAATAAAATTGTTCTAGTTAATTTTTGTACACGTTAGTTTAAATAGTAAGATTCAAATTTATGGATAAAATATAATTACTAAATTTAACATTTAAATTCAAATACCTGTAAATTCCTAATATCTTACTTTGGAACGTATTATTTGGGAAATATTATAACAAAATGATAATTTCTATAGTTAGGAAAATCTTTTTGATAACTTTGTGTCAAATGCAAAACTTAAATCCTTAAAAGTTAAATTTAGACTACGCATAATAATTTAAATAAAAATGCAAATATTATATATATTTATTTAAAATTTTGCATACAATTTTATTTTTATTTGGATGAATTAGTATTTAAATAAGTTTTCAATTTCGCTTGATTTTTTTAATTTAAAATAACAGATTTTTTGAAACAGTCAAATATAATCAAACAAAATATTTGATTATTTAAAATAGAAAATTATTGGTTGTTCTATATAATAATTTGACTTAATACACGAATATTAATATACAAACTTAATATTAATATACAAATAATTTGAGACCAGTAAGAATGAAATATATTCTACAAGACAGTGCAATAATATATTACTGGACATTACCATAAAATCTAGCCATATTACTTAAAAACCTACTAGACAACTGGCAATTAAGTATGAACTGCTAAAGTGTATAATAATCATACATTAAAATATGCAGGTAATAACAACATATATTACCATAGAAACCAAACATACAACATTAAAATGTACAAAAAAATTGACCAACAATGCTAATACTATATTAGTTATTTCAGATATTACTAATAATAAAGTCAATTATTGAAAACCATTAAATAAGTTATATTTTTTCATCTAACTTTGTCTCGTGTTCAACGAGAGTTGACATTTATTTTATATTTTAGTAATACTAAAATTGGTAGGTATTAAAAACTACTCTACATTAATAAACATAACATTTGTTTGAAGCCTAGTAACACCATAAGGAAGAAATATAAAAAAAAATTTTTGAATCAACAAACATTTAGTCAATGGTGGTTTAAGTTCTCATTTTACAGTGTTGTTGTGGATTAACAAAGTAAAAAAAAAATACTATAATGGATGTAAAAGAAATGTACAATACATCTTACAACGTAGCCCATAAATATATACCCATGATAACGTTTGAACCTAAAGTAAGAGAAATAATCAGTTATGTATGAATTACATTGATGATTTTAAGTAATAGGCCAATTAAAAAATGCCCGTTTAACCGAATTTTAGGCAACACCTTTGGATCCCAATAAAGAATCGTTACCCAACACTCCCAATTTAAAACATTGGAACTATGATACGTCGACAAATGTTAATTATACCTACAAATCGGATACCATGGATCCGATTCAAAGACCTACGAGAGTAAATTTCAACAAGCAAGATTACATGATGCCTCAATGGGAAAAGGTTTGTAAAATTATTGACTTCTATTGTTACAACAGAATTATATATGTAGCTCGGATAAAGTAATAGTTTGATGACAGTTGTGGTCAGAGCCTTCCAAACCCATAAACATGCCGCCGACCGAATACTGTGATAAATACATTCGACCAGAAATGATGTCGCATGTTATAAAAACACCAAAACCAACGAGTTGTGTAAGAAAAATAAAAACTACATCAGTCACTTACGCATGATTTAGTACTATTGATGTATAAACAAATTAATGTGTAGTTTAAGCTAAAGCCAGCTATCCGGAAGGAGATTGTTGCAATGCAAACACCAAAAACTAGTGAACATAGTTTGATTCGATTACTGGACCCGTACGTGAGCACTCAAAAATTGTCATTTGTCAATTTGAATCCAGTAAATATTAATTATTTTCTATGATTAAGAACGTAACTTATTATATTAACGTTATCTGGACATTATAAAAAAAATGTTTAGGTTATAACACAACAGTTAAACTCAAAAATGTCAAAACACAAACAAGTTTTACCTGAATATGAATCATTTTATACCGAACCAATATTTAATCGCCAAAATACCATTCGTTTACTACCAACTACAAAGAAGAATGTACCTTACAAGTAATTAATGTTAATTATATATATGTATAATTTTTAATAAAATAAATAAAAAAATGTATAGTACAATATTATATTTCATATAGTGCCCATAAAACAGAGACATCAGCTTCGTACAAAATACCAATCAACACTTTAATAAATCTTGAAGATACAGTCGGAATGCCAATATCAGTTTCACCAAATCCGACATTGGCTCAAATATTTTCCATACCCGGGATGTATACAACCGAGTACTCAAAAATCAGTGGCTAATAATAGAAATTGATTAATACATAATTATATAAAAACTAAAAGTTAATACAGTTAAAAAAAACACTCGTTTGTGATTACAACTGGTAACATATCTGCCTCAATCTAGATACTGTTTTAACACTTGATTCAACATCGGCATATCATAGTAGTCTGCAATTGCTTTAAAGGTCTTTAAATATGACATAATATCTTTTCTTGGTATTACTGTTGTATAACTACCAGCACACGAACAGTATGCATTAAGATTTTCCATTTTTATCTATATATATATATATATAAAAAAAAAAAAAAAAATAATCAATATACTCAAATTAATAATAATTGTTAAATTTGTACAGAAAAAAGTAGTACCTGTGCACATGTTGCACATTGTAAATCTTGCAAAGTGTAAGCCATTGCTTTTCTACTGAGAGCGTCAATTAAATAATGCTCGATTAGAGAATTATCGTAATGAGTGCTGCAATTCGGACACGTCCATGTTTTTCTAAACACAAATTTGAGTAGATTACAATAATAATCAAATAAAAAACAATAAGTACTGCAATATTAGTAATTATTGAAATATTTATTGAGTCCTTACTTTCCTTCTACGACGCTGCGATGCGAGTCTTTACAAAGATCAATGTCTCTACAGTGGTTACAACCTTTACAAATTACTTCTGGCAATGTCCATGACAAACAAGGATCACTCCACTCGGCTTCATCACTAAAATCACCGATGCCAATTAACCGCAAAAGATTTCTTCTAAGTTTCATAACATCATCTTCAATTCCGTGATCCAGTGAGAGTACCTATTATTTTTATAATTAACAAAAATTATGTAAGTAATATTAAGTTAAACGAAAGCAAGCGAACTTACTTTACAAACAGTTTTGACAAATTGAAGGGCTGGATTTAAATGTTTTCCTCTGTTTTGTAAAAACGGAGACAAGGTATTGTGATGTTCAGTACCCAGCACTGGGTATTTTTTGTGTATCTTTTGTGTGATCCTTTATAAAATAATAAAATTAGAAAAAATAATGAAGACTGATAGTTAATTCAGATTAGTTTTCACTCACGTAAACAATTTAGTTGTCAGGTCGTCTGAGATTACACTTCGAGCGTACTCTGCAATTTGTTCACAAGAAGCGACACCCAACATATTACTTTGGGTAACTTGTGATAAAGATTCTGAAATACGTTTCATTGTAACAGAGTCAATTGATTTCATGTGTTTGTAAATGGAACTCATGTAAACAGCAATTGTCTCTTCAAAATGTTTTCGTGAATGACATACGTTAGGTAGGAATTCAGAAATGTTCCAATTCATTTCTATGCCTACCTAAAAACAATTGTCAGTAACCATCAAATTTCATTTCATTTCATTATATTTGAAATTACAAAAATTACTTCTTCAACATCTTGTCTGGAGACATCATGTTCCTTCAATAAATGCTCAACGTCTTCATTTGCCATATCAATAATATCTCCCATAGCTTGTTTTAGTTGTTGCGATAATTTAGCCTTTACTCCAGAATAATTCCACTAAATAATAAATAATTTAAATCAGCAAATAGAAAATTATTTTTAAATATATATCAGTCAGTTAACATATCAGGGTACAAGACCATTCTATAAATTAAATTCGAGTAATCTTTACACAAAAATGTTTTAAATTAATAAAAACATTTAACATAGTTGCGATAAAATAATAATACTATAACGTATAGTTAATTGTAATGATATTTAAGTATTAATGTATGAGCTTACCAAATCAAGCCACATTAAATATTCCCAACAAGGTCCTATTGATATTTGCAAACTGTGGAATAATTCTTTGTTGGTTATATTTTGTACAACGTAGCGTACATAAAATATGGCATCTTCGAGAGATTTTTTTTTTGTACATATGACAATTTTATTGAAATTAGCAAACACGATAGTAGAACCAAGTCTTTTGAACTCTGCAATCAGCTAAAAGGAAAAAAAAATGATTTATTATTTGGAAATAAACATTAGATATATTGTGTTTTATTTTATTGTACTTACCTGCATAAATAGTTTTCTCATAAGACTATACAGCGTCTTGCGTAAAGCTGGATCATACAAAAGTGCATTTGGCGATCTAAGCCATCTGCAGAGCAATATATAAGTAAGTCATTAAATAAATAACTAATAAATATACAGAGAAATCATTTCCGTTTTTAATTACCTGTAAAAATGTACCATTTGAAAATCCGCGTATGGATTATGATGTAACACTACGTCGCGAAACCAGACATTTACCATAGAACGTAATACCCGGAATGCAGCTGAACATAACGCCATTTCATCATAAGTAGGGTTGATGTATGTTCCGCCATCCATAATTTCTTCGAGCGAAGCTTGAGGTATTTGATCAAACGCAACACCAGTACTTGTACCTAATAAATCGTAACAGTTATATAATTAAATACTATTGTTTTTATAATTTATGTCTTTAAGAAACATCATTGCCCCCGAGGAAGAGAAAGTTGTTAAGTGTTTCATACTTCACGACTAGTCTTTGACCGTCAACATCATCACATTTATGTGTGTTCATAAATATACTTTAAAAATTGTTACATTTTAAATATACCTTCAAAATCATGAATATGATGAGACTGCAATAATGTCGTAACTGGCAAAGCATCAATTTCGAGCTCAATACAATAAGAAGTGTAACAACCTTCGTTATTCACGAGCATGCTAGAACTCTCTTCTAAATCCATTAACATTCTACAAAAGATTTGAAATTAAAAAAAAAAAATTCTATTTAGATCGACTAGTATTATTAAAATTTACATATTAGTTACCTATTGTCGTCTGTTTCACGTCCACCCAAATCTGGTTTGTCAGTTTCTGAAATCCATAGTACAAAATTATGTTTCATCAAATGCCTAGCAAAGAAAATATCCGAAGCAAATAGTGTAACGTCAGTCGGCAAGTTTCCAAGTGGTATTTGCAAGTATCTACACTGTTCCAGCATAATTTTCATGTTTTCTGGACTGTTTAAAAAATGATTGACAATTAAGCTACAACCGAAACGTTGCCATTCCAATTGAGCATATATTGAGCTAGTTGTGTCTTGTACATGCAACGTAACGATGGGGAATTCGGTCATTATTGGAATGTTAGATATTAAAACCTGGTTATCTGTGAAGAAAATATAAATAAATTAAACTCCTATAAGTTTACATTTGTAATAAATAAAAAAACTAACACAGTGGGTTAGAGTAAAATAGGTCTTGATCGGAATTAAAAAAAATTATGTTTGTTTATATTTTACCAATTTGTGACTGAAGTAGAAGCATTGTAGGCCCACGTTTTTCATCTCTGTAAGCTTGGAGTGCTCTATGGATTTGCCTGTATACTTGCCTTTCTTCAGTTTCTATTCGAACCTCAAAAGTAATATCAGATGGAGGAAGACTTGATTCGTCATGACCTCGAGAAAGTCTTAACAACAAATTTGTACACATTTAATAATGTAATAATTGTAGTAAATCGACATGAAATCTATAACACTAACTTGGTACTGCGTTCCTTATTGTATAAAGTGTTCAAATTAGCCATCCGATTAGTACGAACCGTATCGGTGACCCATACAAAAGCTTTTTTATTAGGTGTCAAAAATAAAGCATACATGGCTCGTGTCCCCGTTGGTGCTTTGTTGGAGTAGAAAAATATTTCTTTCATTGAACTCTAAAAGGTATGAGGGAGTAATGATTATACTAAGTCTGTATATTGGGTAGAATAAAAAAAATGAAAACTTACATTTGTTAGGTATTTATGAGATGCTTGTTTCATCTGCTCTAAAGAAAAACTACCAACATCTGGCAACGCTGCCAATTTTTTAGCTGCTTCCAACGTAACAGAACAAACACAACCCAGATTTAACAAAGCTCTTAGTTCTGGTTTGATTTTAGTTTCGTAAATTCCCTCGATATCAGGTTTGGATAGGTCACAAATAAAATTACTAAGACAAAAAAATAATTAAATAAATAAGTAGTATATATTTATTGTAAAGTTTACAAATTAATTTTAACTCACTCTTTTGTTTCAATGAAATCTTTTTCGTTTTCAGTGTACCGATATAAGTTCATCATTGGTCTAGCTCTTGGCAATACCATATTCACTTTAGTCCAACTAACATCTTCATCAGTATCGTTCGACAGAGGATGTCTTTTATTCACATAAAATACTCTAGGTACATTCATTCTGATGTTGTGTAATTCATCGCCAACCATCGCCCAAATTTTTAATACACCCAATTCATTGGACTGACATACTTGTATTACTTGCCAGGGTTGACTCAATAAAGTGTGTTGTGCTCGTCTTAAGAAACCACCTAATGTACCAGCACGTCCCTTTGACATTTGCAAATTATTGTCTCGCATACGTTTACTATCATTTCCTCCAATTATCATTTTGGCTTTCATCATGAGTTGCCAATTCCATTTTTTCTTCTGATATACTATCCAATCCTAATTTTTAAAAAATATATCAATTCTAGATTGTACTAAAATGTTCAAAACACATCTAATGTTGGGTTTTATTTTGGAGTAAATAAGGTAAGTACAGTTTTGGGTAGGATCAATTTCCAAAAAAAATATTTGAAAAACTAATAAAAATATAACAATTATTCAAATAATTTAATACACAAAATCAAGTAATTTTTTAGTTTTTTAATTTTTTACTATAAAAAACAAGTTTAATTTCGTTAATTTCATTCCTTCTCTTTAAATGTTTTACTAGATTACTAGTATTCATAATAGTAATTTAAGCTATAATTTAAAGATGAGAAAAACATATTTTAACAATGTGGTTTTTTTTGTCTATTTTTCTGCAACCTATGAGCCACTAAACTGATTTACTCGATTAGCAACTCTATCAACCAGAAGTTGTATCCTATTATTGGGGTAAATATTATTTTATCTTTAAATTAAAAAAATAATAGAGATAATTTTTTTATCTAAATAGTAAGTAAGTAAATGTTTAGGAATAATAAAAGTATTTCAGAATGATACTAACCTTTACATTAGTGGCTGGTGGAGCAGGTCCTAAAGCTTCTTTCCAGTTTCTAGCGTCAATGGGCGACTGATCGCGTTTACGTTTCTTTGTGACCATTGGCCTAGGTCTAATTTCTACGAGATCGTTGTCAATGTTTTCTCCAATATCTTCTATATCTCCGACCTGTTTTGGTCCTTCATCTTGAACAATAGGCGCTGCCTGAAACATTGTTGTAATTTTTTTTTGTTTCATCGGGTCGGCTTTCATTAACATTTTTTTGTGCAACCAATCAGGATGTTTAACTCTTGGAACCGGGTTGGTGACCTAAAAGAAATTAAAAAAATTATCATTGAGTCGTCATATTATTTGTATTGTTTGTATTTACCCCTTGCAACGTTGCCGGTATAGTTATAATTTTCTGAATGGTACCGCTCAAACGTTCAATATAATAATCCCAATCGAGGACATCACGAATATCAATGTCCTCAATAGAGTTATCGTTCAGCCATCTCCTTAAATAATGCCTCTTTACACTCAATTCAGACTGGAAAATAGCCAGTGGTATTGCCCGTTGCGTAACTGGCGAGCCTTCTGGTTTTTTAGATATTATGAAACGACAAGCAAGACCTTTGTCTTTAACCATTTGGTCCCCTAAAAATTCAGCCAAACGTTTAGCTGTAGATATAGATGTCGATTTTTGTGTTCCGTACTCTTCAAGTTTTCGACTCATAGAACGGTTTTCAGATATAAGCTCAAATAATTCAGAATCTGGCATATTTTTGCCCTGCAACCACAAAATGTCCAAATAATAAATAACTACAGAAGAAATTAATTACAACATTTAGGTTTTGAAAAAATATTCAAATCTCAAGTCTAATTTTAATATTCATGTGAAAATTATGTATTGTAGTTTGTAGTACAAGAGATAAAAAGTTTAACACTTCATAATTACTTTGGAGTACAAAACATCCAACCAATAGTCAGCAACAGTGGCAACACTTTCGTAGCATTTTTCCAACGTATCACCTTTCAGAAACGCTTCAAACACAGATGACTGGAAAATTTTTATTATTTGCAGTTCTCCTCTCCTTTTTACTTCAAAACTAAATTTTAAAATATAAAAAGTTAGTAAATTATAAATTAAAGCATTGCATATTTTTGGCAATCAAGTTTTGATAGTAATTCTTACCCTTTGAGCTCTGCTAACGATTTATCAAAATTAAATACTGCGTAACGTTTTTTCAGTTTTTTTCCTTCTTCCTTGGAAGCAGGTAGCACCATTGCTAAATAAGGCCCATCGACTTCAAAAAATATAGAATTTTCACTCCTCATTTTATAAGTTAACTTTTCGGGATCAACTAGATCGTGATAAATGTGATTGGTGAAATGTTCCTAAAGATATACCGATTAGATTTCTTAAATATTTTGTTGGATAACTTATCGAGTAGAAACAGATTGGACAGACCCCGACCTAATGGACACATCTAAAAAGCTGGCGAACTAAAATAACCAAACCGTTAAACTTATAAATATTAATTGTTTAAGACTCATAAATTATGAGTTTTTACCAACTGTGTTATCTCATTCAGCAAGATTATGGTCTCGAGATTTAGCGACAGGCGATGACATTGACTTAGCTTTATATTTACTTGAATATTAAATAACAATAAATTTAAATAAAATAACGAATAACTAATAACTTTATTGTAAATAATTTAAAAAATAAATGATTCATTAAAAAAGATGTTTTATTTATCACATTATCTAAATAAATAATCATTCAAATAAAATGTTGGGCACTATCTATATCTGTTTTATATTTAGGGAAATATCCATAGATCTATTGCCCAGAGGGGGTACACCCTCAGTCCACTCTGTCCCTTCTGTTAGGATTACTTTTTTGTAATTAAAATAACTTACCTTAACCATAGAGTTTAAGACTGCATTTGGAAAAGATACAGTAAATTTTGATTTTTTCGCGTGTGTAGATTGTATTGTATAGTTTTCTGGGAACGTTGATGGCAATACACACCATATACCGTCTGTGTCCAATTCTAACGGTCTACCGACTTTTTCGATAATTTCACGAGCCTTTGTAATGATAGCAGCGCCGGTGCAACACACTATTCCAGCCATTTCCATACTATGCCAGCGAGCTCTACAAGATATTATTATTTTTAAGTAAATAATTTACGCTAAATTAAAAAAAAAAATAAACTTTTTAAAATATGAATTACCCTTTTCTCATGACGTATCCATAAAATGAATTAAGAATACACTTGTGAGCCAACTGTAGTGAATCGTACAACACTTCTCGATTTTTCGCAGACTTGATTTCAACTGGATCGCCGCTAGCAATGGCTTCAGAGATTTGTTTCTTAGCCACTTTGCAAAGTCCCTTGTATTCGTAACGTCTATCTCTGAATGCCCGTACTGTGTCGACATAAAAGGAATTCTCTTTCTGGCAAATAGTAGTTGTTCGCTCTTCAATTTTTGTCACATGAGTTTTTTTGTAAACTTTACGGCAGTATTCTGTTAAACGTTTTTTTTCCCACGTGGCTCTTTCGTCTCGATTCAGTTGATGGAAAGCTCTTGGAGGATCATCGGGTAATCGACCGGGGAATTTTTCTGTTTCCAATTGCTGCTGAATACGTTGATACTCCGTTCGTGACGCAGGCACTAACAAAACAATTAATTTAAATATTAAAAACAATTGTTTTTGGTATTAAAAATACCAAAGACAATTTATCAACAACTTACTCAATTCTCCTCTCCATTGCCAAGTCATACTCCTTTGGCATTTAGCTCCAGGAACATTAAAATCACAAGCGGCACATATTTCTTCATTGACCATGGCCGAAGGTTGTAATCTATTCGTAAGAATGATGTTTGGATACATGGCACCCACGTCCAAATGATAAATTAAAGGTTTTAATAACGGATAAGGGTCTTCTTTAAGTACGTTTAATTTTTCAATGACGTCTTTTAAAATTTCATCTAAATTTGTGACAGTATCCAAAGGGACGTTTTCTTCCTCTTCAATGGCAAATCTCAACACTTCTTTAGCTTTACCTATTAGCATTTCAAATGCCGCTGGGTCTAATCTAAACCTGCAAGGGATGTCAGCACGAAACACACCCGACTCCAACGCTTCTACATGGCCCCCAACATAAGTTTCTTGATCCAGAACGTGACCATCTTCGTGGAGTTTATTGAGTTCTTGTTCCTGTTTATTCGGAAATATTATGTTCACGTGGAATGCTTCGACCATCAAAAGACTTTCACATAATGTACCAGACCCTTTTCGTAAAACCTATGGAAAATGTCATAAAAAAACTCATAATATGTCAATGTTTTATAAAAAGTTCGTGGATATCATAACTAAAAACACTGAGAAATGAGAAGTAAATAAAAGAAATAATACCTGGATAACTAACAAAAAGTTCATAATAATTAATAGTCAAACAATCAGTAAAATCTATCTAACATCTAACTAAATCAGTAAAACAATTAGTAAAATCTAGGGTTTTTTTATATTGTGTTTTAAGGGTTTATATTATTAATTTGTATTGTTTTTCCAATAAATCTAACTAAAATTAATCTGAATTTACTAATTCTTAATTTCAAATCGGTCTTTTGGCAACCATAGAGACAGTAGTAAGCTATAAGAGTACAAATAAAGTTTAGATCCATCAAACAGATACGCCATAAAGCGACTTCTACAAATGTAATTTTTTATCAAAACTTTCATTTTTATCAAACAAAGAAATATAACTTATTAAAAATAAATATTGTATGAGAAAGTCAAAACAGATTTCGGATTAGTGTAAATTACATATTATTTTCTAAGGAGAAGAGCGATTTTATCTAATTTTTATTAACAGTCTGATAAGGGTGTACACTAAATGTTCAGAGGCGGACTGGGTAAGGAAAGTACTACTGTCCTTGAATTTGAAAAGGTCCCATTGGCGAAATTTATAGAGAAGGAATAATTGGGAGGGCCAGGTAATATTGATCGTGAAAAGGAATGGAACTAACCGGAAACCCAAATAAAACTAATTTTGGTTTAAGAATTTTATTCCAAACCCAAAACCCCGTAACATTGAAATTATAATTAAGAGGCAAAAACCAGAAATCAAAATTAGAATACAAAAAATGTATGAAAACTACACTGTGTCACTTTCACAACCAGTTTGTCAGGCAGACTGCCATAGAGACTGTTACGCTCTAGTTCTATTTTTAAATGCGATTTATAACTGATTGAGTAAACAGTGATTTTGAAAGTCTGTACTACAATTAATAAAGAATAATATTGTATTTTATTTTATTAGGATATTATGTCTTGATTGAACTGGACGAAAACTGTAAGAAAAACATAACTGAAAAAGATAATTTCACCTTCGTTCAGAGAACGGAAAACCCCCAGTTACAAATATACAAATTAAGACTAAAGCACCGAGTCACTTTCACAAGTTGTCTACCGAGCGATTTCAAAATTTTTTTTTTTTGTTTTGTTTTAAGATTTAACATCTCTTTTATGGAGGCTAAAAGGCAGATTATTAATTATTGTTTTCTTGCAAGTAGGATTCTGTTGGGCGGTAAATCAATATAGTCCAGCTTGTCCATGCGAGTGTAATGAAAAAGTCACGACTTTATGGAAATATCTGAGCAGCAAAAATTGTCAAAACCGGTTCGTTTTTTTTTTTTTTTTGCGAAAAATCGTGTAGCTTCAAGTGTATATTGTATAATTGGTATCGGAATTGTCAAAAACGTTTTGATTTTCGTTAATGTAAAGCCGTGACGTAAATTGCATCATGACGGAGGACGCATCCTTTGTGACATGCTATTAAAAGTAATTTACCCACTACTGTTGGTCGGTTAGTCAATAATTGGGTTATGAAAACTTAACATTATTCGGACCGTCAATCAAAAACAAATTACTAACGTGCGGCTTATAAATATTAATACATCATCTTCACCCTCGCCCTGTCGTCGTCCTAACATCATCTGATGTGTGTGTGCACGTGTTAACTGACAGTTACAAGATCATCTCCCACATCCACCCAACTCCTACGCAGTGTCCGCCAAGAGCAGCCGAGATTCTCTATAAAATAGGATAGGGCACACTCGGCCAAGTCATTCCGCCGGTTCAACAGTAACCGCAAGTCGACTTAAGCACCGGAGGTATGTATATAGTATCAATAGTAGACATATACGAGTACAGTATAAGTGGAATTACACGTAAAACTGTTGTACTTGTATTTCTGTCAAATTGTTTATAATTATTGTTCTATTGTCGAGTCACCGTGCACTATTATGTTTTTTTTTTTTTTTTGACACATTTCTAGAGCAAGATGAAAATCTCTTTATACTTGAGTTTGCTATCGGTGGTGTTAATTTTCAAAATCGTATCGGCCAACCAAAGGTTGCAATATTGCGGCTCTCGGCTAGCAGACGTATTAAGTACGCTGTGTCACGGGCAATACAACGAAAAATCAAAAAGAAATCAATTAGGTGAGTTTCGATGCGTGCATAATATCTCATATCTATACTTACACATAAAGATACAATGTACATCTTAAACGACACTTGCATCGACCAGTGTGGAGGGTTTCGCGTGGTTAAGATGTGCAAGGTTGAGATTAAGTACAAACACAAATAAGTCTAGCGATTACACTGTACAGTAAAATTTAACTTTCTGTAACACAATCCAAAATACGTTGATTTTTTTTTTCGAAGTTGGCCAAGATTTTTATAGCACGTCTAACTATTATTTAAATTTCTTCTAAATCTGTAAACAACGCACAGAAAAAATAATCACAACTTTGCAATTGTTCTTAACACCACGAAATGGCGTTTTTACAAGTTTTGGAGCCGATTTAAATAATGACCAGACTGGCTAGAAAATGTTATGCCTGCTGTGGATTCTTGTTATTGAAAAATCATGATGTACTGTGTAATGTATTCACCATAAAATTGTAATTTGATATTCAAAGTTATATTAAAGCTTTGTCAGTAGGGTTTCAATGTTTTGTTTTTTTCAAAAAAATAACACTTTCACCGCAGGACGCATTATTAATCATTGATTAAAGAAAAATCGTTTATTTCATCACCAGTTTTCAAAGAAACATTTGACAAATTACAAATTGTTCAAGTTAATTGCTCATAGTTAAAAAAAACAGAGTTCAATGCGCCTATAAGATCTTTGTTGTTTTCTATTAAAAGTTACATAGATGTGAGTAAGAAAGTTCATTTAGAAATGATTACCATTACAAAGTCCAGCCATCTCAAAAAAATATCAACACCCAATTACTTTACAAGAACCGTCAGGGCTTTTTCCCATTTAAAATCATTTTGCACCACTAAAACGGTTACAAAATTGTACACGCTTTAACACAATCAAAATTTGATGCTAAATATTGCTTTTTAATAAATAACCAGCGCAAACAATAATTATTTTCAAAAGGCATAATTTATAGTAAAAGATTGTCGACATTTTTTGAGAATGAAAAGAAATGACGATTTTATCCATTGTGATAACCATTAGTTAACAAGTACTTGTTTGTGTTACACTTGAGACATAATTATAATGTAAGAATATAAGTTGGGTATCCTACTGTTTTTTTTTCTTTTTTAAGATTTACACGGTCTAAAAAATATAAACATTTCATTGTCTAAATAGTAACTACCGAGTATTGTGAGTGGTACGAAATTGCACCTTTTTAATTTTTGACATAAGACTTTTTTCTAAACTAGAGTTTTGTAGGCAAACACTAAACTCACATAGGGAAAGTATCCAAGTAAAGTAGGCATGCATTTCTTATTATTTCTTATTGACAATTTTATAAATTACCAAACTGTCGATCTAATTATGATTTTTTTTAAATACATAACATTTATACAGGATCCCCGTTTAAAATCCAAGTTAAGATGTTAATAAATTACCTGAAACTTTGATCCAAACTCAAACCTTAATTACAACAAAATTATAGAATAAGACACGATAATAGTAAATGTTCTGCCTCGTTCTAGATCACAAGAAGTATAGCAAAAACATAATATATTGGAAGAGTTTGAGGAGATTTTTCAAATAATTTTTTTTGGTTATTGATTTTTTAAATTCATGTTTTTGCAAATATTGTAACTGTTATTATTTGCTTCAAATATTTTTTTCGCCCATGTAAATTGCTAGGAAATTTTATCAACGTTGTTTTTTTATCCATAACTCTCCAAAAATGTATGTATTTTCACGATGCTTTGCGTGCACAAGACAGACATAGGACTATGGTTATCTCTTACAATGCAAAACAATTGTAATTTTCATTTGAATACTTATTCATGAGAAAATTATTATTTTATCTATGTAAACAAATTGTATTTATTGTGAAACAGATTCAGATATGTGGGATTATAAAGAACTTGAAGACTACAATGAAATTTACTACCCATTCCGTTCTAAGAGGGATGCAATGTCGTTTATTACATACAAACAGCCTACCTCTAAAAATAATAAGATTATCGAAGAATGCTGCATTAAACCTTGTGATATGTCTGAAATTAAAAGCTACTGTCAAAACTCAAATTAAGAATTAGTGTTACGAATTTTTGAGTGCTAAATAAAATTTTAATTATTATTAAGTATTTTCAATTTGTTTGCTTACCTCATCGGGCTCCATCGGTATAATAGTGCACAAGGCAAAAATGAAAGGATGTACATATTTCATATATAAATAGTAAGTAGCAACAGCATCCGAGACTGAATAGTTACATAGTACTTGAGGCTCATCCGTTGCAAGTCGACACATATCTTCAGGATCAAGCTCGACAGGATCGTATCGAAGTTTAGCTTTAGCCACAGCTTTTAAATTTTGCGATCCAACTGGTAGATAAGAATCTCGTTTTACCCAACTACAACAAATTAAATAATAATTATAATATAATATTAAAATAAAAAAATTTGCGCAACGGACAAAAGTTTTACTGAAGAAAAAGAGTAGTTTATTTTAAAGTAGTTTAATCAGTACAATAATAAAAACCCTTTTTGGGTTGAATACTTTTTTTATTGACTATAATAGGATCTATTTTCATCATTTACCATACTATTTTGTCTGTAGCGGTCATAAAATCGAATAAAATATTTTTTTTAATTTTGACACTTACAAAACATTGTTATAAATCATTTTTTTTTTTTTGGTACTGTAGTAAAATTAATGTTATTAATTTATTTAAAAACATTTTAAACAAAACAAGTTAATTTTAAACAATTAATAAAAGTTATGCTTCTATAGATATTAACAAAAACTGACAACATACGGTATATAATAATGTTTTCTAAAAGTTTTTGAAATTTCAAACTATACAAAAACTATAAGGAAGATGACCGTTTAAGAAATAGCTAGATTTACATCTGAAATTTAGGCTATGTGATGTTACCTTAAGAAAACGCCAAAAATAATGCATTCGTATTTCAAATGCTAAGAAGTCTACAATAAATAAATTATCTATCCCATATAAGAGCACAAAAATCAAAACGCATCACTCATATATAAAACTGTTTAAACATTTCCAAGGTTATTAATCATTTATAAGGCCATGATAATGCACTAGATAAAAATTTTAATATTTGATTGTTTTACTGTTAAATGTTAATAGTTATAGCTAATGTAAAATTTTTATGAAATACCATAAACAGTCCATATGCATAGCAGGTCGACTGGCGTAAACACCTGCTGAATTTTTCGCAAATCCTATTTCTTGGGCCATATTCATATCATGTATAGCGGCTCGAGTTTCCACAAATGGCCAATCGAAAAAGTCACCATTGTATGTGACTATTATATGTGGCCGAACGTCCATTATATGTTCAAAAAATCGATTTAAAACTGCTGCCTCGTCAGCTTCATTAAATACAGTAAATAATCCTAAGCAAAAGCAAAATATGTAATAAAACATATTATAATAGTAACAGAGTTTTAAATTATTACCTTCATACTCAGGTGTTGGTGTGTACTCAAAATCGTCGACGTCGGCAGATATTATTTCACGGTTGTTGATTAAATACCCCTGACCGTCAATCATATATGAGATCATCATAATTTGATCAGTATTTGCGTCAGGAAATTTCAATGGGAGTTTAGTCGTCTCGATATCATAAGCCAAAACGATCATATCCGGTCTGTCAATGATGTCGTCTCGACGTGTAAAAGTAGCTTGGTTGTAGGGTCCACGACATTGGACTGTATACCATAATCCAGTAAATATTTTCAAGTCTGTCGATACCCGATTGTGATAGACAACGTCATATTCTCTAGAATCGTAATTAAATACATATTTATTAGGTCCATTAGGTCAAATTAGGAGACGCTTACAAAATTAGGGAAATGCATACTTAAAAAATAAAGTGAAAAAAAGGTAACTAGTCACATTAAATAAATCAACTCGACTATAAAAAAGTTACTTGACAGTAAGATGAAAACAAATAAATTAAAAAAGAAAATGTTGAAGATGGAGAAACGAGTGTTTCACAGCTGGATTCAATATTCAATTTTCTAATTAAAAAACTTTCTTAAAAATCAACTCTAAAATTCCCATTTATAGCATGCATCTGTAAGTATTTAATATCTCTAAAAACAATATATAACCTGATATCAATAATATTTTCCATATGGTCGACTTGTTTTTTAGTTGAAGCCACCTCTGATAAGTTTGCTAAAGATTCTGTCAACATTTCTGTATAATAGGAATTATTTTTTCGTGCTAAACGATTTTTGCGCACTGATGGCATAATGGATTGGCGTACTTTATTCATTTCAGTAACTGTAGCAAATGCCATTTTTATATATCTTTGTTTTAAACCTATCAAATGGTTTGGCTGAAAATAACTAAATTTATTATAACCAAATAAAATTTTCATATGCAATTTCAGTACTGAATTAGTTTTACCATATCTAAATCTTCTTTCATAACAGTTTCAATACTAGTAAAACTGCCAGCAAATTTTTTACTAATATATGCAACTACTTCTTGTATATATTCTTTTTTGGCTAATAGATAGAAATATGGTTGAAAAGGTTGTGTGACTCGGAAACGAGATCCATCATCTTTAATAAAGTAATAATCAACAGCAGCAACCAAACGTTTGTCTTCATCGACAATCTCCGTCTGAAACATTTGATTTTCTCAAATAAATACAGTGAACAATTTAAAACAATAAATTCAAAATTCCTTTCTTACACTGTGCATGTTAATGAGGTAGCCCGTGTGTTCTTGATAATCTTTAACTCGTATAAAACCATATTTATTATCTATTAAATCGTTTTCTATTGATTGCTTAAGTCGAACGTCATTTGAATCTTCTTTAAATTGGCTAAAAATAATAATTATTAAAACAGTATAATATTTAAAAATGTATCATTGATGTACAGTAATGTCTTGGATTAATTACTTGAAAAAAGACTTCTCCGGTGGTTTTACAAAACGTCCTGTATTAGCAGCACACATATTGGTTACAAACACAAAGAAACCATAAAACACAAATATAAATTATAGAAAAATATTGAATTTGAGCGATAAAAAATATCTTAAAATAATTTTTCAATTCAGGAAAATGGAAAAACTTCAAAAAGGAATTGGCAATTAGTATAAAAATCAAGTAATTAAAAAGTAAAAACAGAAAACTGAAAAGATTTCTCTGAACGTAAATGTGAATTGTGATTCGCATTCGATTATCAACTGTTTTGTTCTGATAACAAATTGTAAGAACTGGCGGGAAATGTCATCATTGGAAGATACAAATAAGATAATTATTATTGATAAGTCTTATCAGTAACGATAAAATTGATTTGATAATTGATATTCTACTGTCTCACACCGATTTTTTGCAGTAATATAAGCTAAACAAGCTACAAATTATTGCCTCTTCGGTCTTCCATCAATGTTAACTCTTTACAGTTCCTTTTAGATGCGACACAGAGTTGAGGAGGTATTAGTTTTAAAAATGTGTGCTTTTTATTTAGCCCACACGACAACTAGAACTGCTGACTCAATGTAAATCTAATAGACTCAAATGGATTTAGTTCTTATTAAAAAATGAAGGTCGATCTATTTAGTTTCTTTACAACTAGTAAAACCCAATCTAAACCTTTTGTATCTTAAATCCGAATTGTCAATTTTCTATGATTTTTTAACACGCTATTCACAATAATAAAATAGTGATCGATTTGTTTGAGAATTTAAAATAAATAAATAATAAACATTACATTAAGTCAACAAGTTTATTGTTAAATAATTCACTGATTTCTTTTAAATTTTTGCTTTGATGCGGAGCTGAGAAGGTATTGGTCTTACAACGATGTGTTACTCTTATTGTGTCTGGACCCACGATATCTTCTAAACGCTGAACCGAACCGAGTAATCGTACCTAAAAGGTGATTTACTGGGCCAAAAAGTTAAAATGTTTATCCCTTGGCCCTTCCCATAAAAAATCGAGAAAAACAGCAAAAAAAAAAATATATTTTTCAATTAATAGAATTATTACGGGCCTCTCTATACATATTTTTTTTAAGTAGTCGAATTACTTCCAAATTTGTATGGAATATTCGTTAGACGTATATAGTACAACCGATAAACGTTGACGAACCAAAACAATATCATAAACCCTTTCCCTATAGAATATTAGTATTTCTACCATTACCGCTTAGCATCGAGGCGTTTGTTTATAAGCGATTCTGTCTTCTCGAGTTGTAATAATAATTCTTACAGACCTGCGGATAACGAGTACCGTGTAGCAGCGCACCGGAACGCTGGATCAATTTCTTTTTTTTATTTAGATCTACAACCAATTGACGTGTTTTAATAAATGTCGACAGACAATAGCTACTCAAAAAATGCGTTTGTTAAAAAATGTTTTGAGCTTCTATACACACACACACATAAATGTTATATATACACACACATATATATATATATATATATATATATGTTTGTGTGAGTGTACTATATACCTACTTCATTTTCACCACCGTTACCAGCCGTCGTATATATATATATTATATTATTGTGATGTATAGGCTGTTTTCGGCGACAGCAGCTCTCGCCCGAGTGGCGGGTGCTCGAGACACTCACATTAAAAAGCTCCTCGTTATGATTAAAAATGCAAAAATCCCTGACGTGTGTTGAACACTGCGGGTTCTGACGTAGCTATTGTCTTAATTTGACGAAAAATTATAATTGACGACGTAGGGGTGAAGTGACGTTGAAACTGAACAAAAAAAAGAATCCTTTGTTACTGCCACGGGGGCAGTATTATAAGCCCAACAGACCCTATATAATATACGCCCAAGACATACGAGTACACTAGAAAGGCCATTATTTTTTAAAGCAATTTTTTACATTCTACCGTCTATTGCACTTTTTGACATTTCTCTCTTGAGGCACGTACATAAATTATAACCATGGCTTAATTTTTTTTTTTTTTTTAATGCACTTAAAACGTTTTCCACAGACAATCCTATAAGATGGTATCTCATAAAATAAAAACCGTAAATTGTATGCATACGCCATACATTTTGCACTTGCATTTTACGAAAATCATTAGTTGAAAAACAATATAGTACAAGAAAATGATTCAATTGGAAAGCTTGAAAGCTTATAGTAATAATAGCGACGTAATTAATTGGTTATACTCAATACTCACAATCGGTAACTATACCTACTTACCACCGCAGTTATGGTTTGCATATTATAAAATATATTGGTTTATAAGACGTTATAACGTACAATAGTTACTGTAAAACGATAATTAATTTGTGCTAAAGCTTATTTCAAAAACGTGTTCGAAGTTAACAAGTTTTACTTATACATTTATATGTATATACATAATATAATTCTAATTGATCCGTTAAGACTCGCATTATACGAAAGTCTCATAAAAGCAGTTTATAGGAAAATCCAATAGGACTTCGTTATTTCACAATGCAATTACCAGGAGATAATTGACTTTTACAATGAACGACACACATCGAAATTGGACATTTTAATTTTAAACGACATAATATCATAAAATTATATTAACTGCGTTGTTTATAATTTTGTTATTCTTATATTAATTGAATAATTCGTTTTTTTTTAATATTATTAGCAACGATGTTAAATAAAAACATTTCAAATACAAAAAAATATATTCTTGTTCGTTGGAAATGGTGATGCAAATATTTTAGGAACCCGTGGATGCGGTTTGTATACACAAGAGTAAAACTACGCGATATAAGGTGAGCACCTATTTATGACGTATAATTTCTACAACAGTTCCGTTTTACACCTGGACGGAATACAATTCACCCTAGTCCTTATAATATATTATGTATAGGTATGACCGCCGTATTTTTCTTCCTGTGAAAGACGTTATACGTAAGGAAGAACCGCCAAACGAGACCAGTTTTTTTAGTCAACATCTGCTCTCTTTTGTTCCACACCGTTCACCGATGTAGTAATAAAATGAAAACCTGGGTCTTTATTTTTTTCACGGAGGGGGGTGGGGGGGAAATATTCGAGGGTCCTCAGTGTACGCCATGCGTCCACATAATATATAAGATTTGTCAGTTGTATTATGTAATACAAACACTTTCGTCCGGTCGGCCAATATAAGTTATAATTATCAATATAATCCAATAATATTCTTAACATTTGTTTAATAAATAATTGGAATTATAATTTACAATCACAAGATTCTACCGTGTTAGCAGTAACGAAAACTTTACTGTGAAATTGCATAAAAATACATTTTAAAGCCATTCAATGGATGAGATCTGAAAACGGACATAATTATTATTTACAAACCTTGTGTTTGTACGCATAAAAACTAATGTAATTATTATATTAGGCCCGTAAAATGGCGGAAACTGCGATAAGTAGACCGCAGACAATAGTATTTACAAATGTATAATGAACTCTGATTATTTGTTTAAATACAATAGAGAAGCTAGTCGCTAGATTGGAATATTATGACTTATTATTTTATTATACATAACGTTATGATAACACCGGTATGGTTTGCGGCGAGTAAATCGAAAAACAACGGTGTTGGTCGTTTACAATAACGAAGATGTAATATTTAAGATAAATACTACACGGAAATGTCAGCTAACTGTTAAAACGGTGCGAACAAAAAACATACTTCACTAGCTTCACAGTAGCAATAAATTATAACGAGGTGGGCAAGAAACAATGGGCGATAACCGACCGAGAAGAAATGAATTGGGATTTAACTAAAATAAGTGGGGATGCTTAAGCGCTGAAAATAATCAGAAATACCATCTCCTCACTACTCTTATGGTGTGAGACACAAACAGTTTTAGGGGTGCTAAAATCAAAACTACAGGGGCACATCCAAGCTTCTCCCAAATTGCATCTATGCTATTAGTGCAAAATCACTTTATATTACCAAAGATTTGTTTCTCTGTAAAAGTATTTTTTCGAGTTTGTTGAGACTAAAATATAAAGCAAATGTAGGCAAAACGTTTGCCTAAACTACACCGTATAAACGCTTACTTGCTTGTTAGTTTAAAAGAACTCACATTAGACCAATCGAGACCAAAACAGTAACGATCGAGCGAGATCGAGACAAACCGTTGAAGTGTCATTCGATAGATCGGTTCAAGGCCTCAAATGTACTTCGTCAGAATTGCGCCTGAGGCGAGGGAGGGGACGGCGAAAAGGATTTTTTTATACCTACTGGGACTACCTACTGGGTCGATTTACATGCGGTTTTTTTTTAAATTCTTAACCTCTTTTTTTTCAGTTTTGGTTTCTGTACAATGCGTAAACAACACATACCGAGTCAAAAATTTATATTTGCATTTTTTAAAATTGAATGTACCTATAATATCAGGTAACTATACCTATCTATGTGGCTGTAGCTCTCACTACCACCCAACCCAATTGTTAATATTAAACCAGCAATTATAACATTAATAAAATCAGCCTTTATAAATAATTGTATAATTAAATAAACGTTCATGGAATAAAATCAAATATTTACCTACTTCAAATAAAAAAATAATTTTTGGAATTTTATATTATTATTATTATTTTTTATCAAAGTATGTATACTTACCTTATATATATAGATAATATTTAAAATTGTCTAAAAATTAATGATCAAATAAAAATGTATTTAAAATTGTTCGTTAGTTATTAATATTTGTTAAATTACAAATTTACCCGGTCTGAATAAAATATAATAATATGATGTTTCTCCATTAATAATTTTATTGTACAATCCAATAAATTGTTTTTTTCTCCGTAAACGCAATGGGAATGAATTAATACAAATCATTACCTCATCCGAAGTTCCCGAGGTGTTATTACATTTAACCTAAGCCTATTTGAGCCGCAGAGTTACACGAGACTTTCCGTTTAACCGTTTTAGAAAACCATGTCATAATATGGTGCAGGACATGGGTGACCGTGACGACGCCACCGAAAAGGTCGCAGACGACACCAAGGCGGCGGTGACAACTTATTACATTCATACCTATACATGTAGGTTGTACTATAATAAACATAGTAATCAGTAATGAATATTGATGAGTGCCAGACGCCGCCGCCGCTCTGCGGTAATAATATATAACAACAACATCAACAAAAACAAAGTACAGTACAAAATGGCCTTAACAACAAAAACTTTAATACAATGATTGAATGAATAAGATATTTACCGCTCAATCCGAATTAGACCTCAAATTGAGTGTAAATTACATATAATTAACACTAGTTTTGGCTTTTTCCAACAATTGAGGTTGAACAATTAAAAAATGTCTAAAAATGGATGTAAATATGAATTTTTTTAGATCTTTTTTATGTTGAATGCAGAACTATACACTATACACTATACCTATATCTTTTAAATGCACATTTAAAATAATTTTAGAAATTTAGTTTAATATATTTTTCGCTATGTTGAAATAACATAAAAAAAGTTGTCGAGTACAACTTTTAAAGCGATTTACAATAAAATCATTCTTGCCATACGGAAATAATATTATATTCGAACAAATGTATTTTTCAGCTGACACTTTTTGTGAAAAATTATTCCAATTCTAGAATCTGTTATAAAATATCAAAATGTATTGAATTATAATATTTATAATATTCTATTGTTCTAAAAAACGGCAGTGCTTCTGTGCCTACTTTATACGTCTTACTCGGATTGTAAAATATTTCGCTAGAACCCCATACCGAGAAAAGCACAAAGGGTGCTCGACTATTTCCCTACGTTTTTTTTCCTCCGGTTCTCAACACCCCTTATCCCCACTGGCCGCACTGTCCATCCCCTCCGCCGAATCGCAAACAATGCGAAAGGGATACCATTCCCCCATACAATACGACAGCCTGCACTACGGTAGGGGTGATAGCGATGGTGGTGGTGCAAGTATTTTGTTCCCAACATACACATATATATATATATTTCTATTTTTTTTTTTTTTTTTTGAAAAACCACAGTGGCGGCACAAGCGGCGACGCGAACAATACACCTCTACTCCGTCCGTCCGTTTCATATAGTGTTATCGGTTGGAACCTCAAAATAAAAAAAAATACAAATCTTAAATTCGAGTCATCTTGATTTTTCCCGACCAATGATTACCCATCGGTTTTTTTGATAATCGTTTTTCTTTTCGCCGGCCCACGGCCCCTGTCAGTCGATTATCGGGCGCGCGCGCGTTTGGCGTTCCGAACCCGTCCGTCCGTCCGTCCGACCCTTCTCCTCAAGGTTCCCACTCCGCACGGCGGTGGCGGCGGCGGCGGTGTGTTCATTCATCGAGCACGGCCGATCGGTCAAGTACGCCGTACGTCGGGCACGCACACGCATACACGCACGCCGCGGGAATCGAACGGCCGGGTATCGCGAGTACGCGGCGCGTGGCGCACCGATACGCCGGCGTGACGTCCGGGTTACGGTCGTGCCGCAAGTTATTAACCGCAACCGTGGTGCTCGTGGTTTTGTTTTCCAAAAATAACGAACGTTACAATAATAATAATATTGTCATCGATAAACGTTTGTAGTTGTGTGTTTTTTAAACTTTATTTTTTTTTTATCACAAGTTAAAGCACGTTATATTTTTTACCATCAGGTAAGTTCTGGACGTATATACTTGGGTTTTGATTAAAAAAGTCGATTTTTGTTTTTTGTTTTAAACGTTATAATATTATGCTTTTAAAGGCACGTTTGTATTTTGTTGCACAATAACAACACTGTGTGTTGTAATACTATCTGGAACTACGTTTTCACATTATACCTACGGCCTAGCTCATACGGGCAAGCGCACGACACTGTGCGGCGTGGAATGTATCGTGGGAACACAAGACACCGTAGGGGTTGGTTCGTAAATTGCATACACAATATTATACACTTACTATAGGTATGAGGTGGGCAACGTATAATATAATATGTACACCTATACACGAGGGAGGCCAACCACCGGTGGCTAAGGCTATTATTATTATATACATACACTCGAATGGCCCGACGTTTTACCTGCACAATGTAAGTATGTCGGGTAGGTAGGTAAGTGGGAAAAAACGTGTGCGAGTTTACAAAATCGCGCATGCAGGGGGTGTTAAAATTTGGATTTTGGATTTTTTGAATCGCAAACCAAAAGCAAAATTGTAGCAAAAAAAAAAAAAAATCTAGACATGTCGTTGGAATTTTAATGCCAAACCGAAACCAGTGCCAATTAACGGTAAAGCCAACGAGCGTTTTTCGCGGGGTATTCAAATCGAGATGGGCATTGCGGTTTAAATAACTAAACGATTTCGACATAATACCTATTATTATTTTCATTAGCGGACGATCGTTGCCAGCCTGTACTGTAAAACTTGTGGTGTTCAGTGTGTGTACACACGCTGATGCCTACTGTAATAATATGTAATAAAATAAAATACATAATATATTCATTATCGCGCACAACAAACACGGGTTTGTTGACGATGAGTACACACACACCGACTCGATAACGGGGAATTAAGATTAGGTTATACCTAACAACGATGTAGGTACTAAGTATATTATCATCATATTATATTATAGGTACAGCACACACAGCGGCTACACCACACACACACACACATAGTGTGATAATAGCGTAAGCCGAAAACCATTTCGAATAAACCGCCATCGAATTCGATCAGCAAGTTACGGGCAAGGGGGGGGGGGTGAACTTAATAAGTGGCTTTAGGTGTCAGTACCCTCTGTCAAATCTAACATGGGTAATTTTTATTTTAATAATAATTCGCTAAAATGAGTTGTTTGAAATACATTTTTATTTAGTGCATTAACTAAGTAAAACCTATTTATTTAAATACATTTTTCCTCGACCAACGATAGTAACAAATTTTTTTTATACACACTTAATCATGGTATAGGTACAGTTGCATAGTTTTGTCGACATGATTTCGATAAAAACAAGCTAAAATTCAATAAACGTTTTAATAATAATATTTTGTAGTTAAATGTAATATATATTTATAAAATAATTGTTTTGTTTTTATTTAAATACTTTTAGCTTCGATGTTTATCATTTTAATTATTGTTTCAATTTAAATTTAGATAGGTATATTATTTTATTTGGTGAATGAAAATGTATTCAAATTCATTGACGAAGATCAGGGGGGGGGGGTTACTTGGGATACTAAAACATAAAAACTTAAAATTAGTGCTTTTCAAAATACCTACATTTATATTTTAGTAAGTGATTTGTTGAAATACAAATAAATGTAGCACTAATTTTAGGTTTTAAGGTTTTTAGAATTCTGAGCCCCTTGCCTGATCTCCGCCAACGTTCAAATTTTGTTTGTTATTTAAATTTGTTCAAATAAAAATATAACTTTACTTATTATTTCACTTTGTATTTAAATAAAACAAAATCGTTTAAATAATGCACAGATCTAATACTAATAGTTCAGAGATGATTACATTTCTATCGTATTCGTTTTCAAAGCGTTTTTGAAACTTTCGGCCGTCAAGCTCCCAAGGGGAAATATTCAACATGGTCGCCACTAAATTAAATATCGCTGTTTTATGACGAAAATCCCATTTTAGGTACCTAATCTTATACGCTGCACTCAAAATGCATTTCCTAAGTCACACGGATCTAGTCTGTGGATTGCGGTGTAACCGTAGTAATAATAATATATGTTACACGGATATTATACTACGATAAGCTGTTAAAAGTGAAAAAAAAAAATTAGTATTCGTACCGGCCTTGAACGCGAATCCAGTAGACATATTGTAAAATATAATTGGTTCACTGTTACTATATAGTATATAGGTTTTTTGACCCAATAGGTCATTCGGAACGTCGTTGTTTGGATAGCATCAGCTATGCTCGCACGGCGCGGCGTTTGACAATGAAAATCGTTTAATCCTCTGACGCAGTTGTCCAGCAAAATACCGCGTGTGGACATAGCATAGCTCAATATATATATATATACCAACATTTATATTCATAATATTATATAGGTTTGCGACTTAACGGTATTTACCGGCGGGCAATGTAATACAATAATCGACATTAATACTACTGCGGGTGGATGTAATAATAATTGTTGTCAAAAGGTTTCCCATAACGCTTATAGCGGATTAAAAGTTATTATTATAGTGTTTTACTCGTTCCCCGCGGTGGCGATTAGAGCAAGGATAGGTACGCCTGTTATTAGTGTTATTAAGATACAGAAATAGGATAATTTTTTCCGTTAGGGAATCCGTCGTCCTATACGTTCAATAATAAACAATTTCCTGGAAAATAATCATTATTTACTTTAAAAAAAAAGTCTTTTATTTTCAGTAAATAATATATTAAGCCTACTTAAATACCTACTGTACAATTTGAGGGGGAGGGGGCTTTTCATCTTTCAAGGGCAATATGGCCCTTAAATAGCCTAAGACGGCCCTGGGGAGGGGGGCTATAAATTAATAGATTTCAAGTTAAATTTGAGTTATTATCTGAGTGTCGCAGAAATATAGATATCCTTTGATATACACAAAATTAATACATTTCTAGATTTATTTTTATCGAAGACTTTAATTCTCAGCTATGTATTTTAGGGAAGAAACACAATTCACTAAAATTCAAAAAAAAATATTGAGCTGACTTGACAGCTCTTTGTAATGGAAACTTCTGTTGTTCAGTATCTACTTACTAGAAGTATCATCCAAGACATAAGCAGAGAAAAATACTTAAGGAAGAGGACTTTTCCTGCTCTTAAAGTGGAAAATCCTATTTAAGGTCGACTTTGAAGGAGGAGAGGTTGAATGCATATTTAGCAGTATTAAGTATTGAAGCAGCATTATTTAAACAATTTTATTGATAGATACCATTAACAAATTTGACCATACAATTTTTATGATAAAAGACAAGAAAAAGATAACTGAAAATAATGGTTTATACTTAATTTGTTATATAAAATAAAATTATCAGTTGTCAATGATGTAAACGAGGTAATATCACATTTAATTTGCAATAATAGCGCAACCAGAAGTTATGTACTGTAATCATTTACATTTGATGCCTTAACCAAAACAATATTATGTACCTACACGACTAAAATAAATGCTAATGTTTATCAAACAATTTTTAAAAAAAATATCCTAACCGAAACGAAATTCTGTAAAAATTACTTTTTCCTTTTTATTTAGCTTCGATGTGGAGCTGAGAAGGTATTGTTTTTAATTTTTTTGTGTCTGGACCTACGACATCTTTTAAACCGCTGAACCGATTTCTTTGTGTAACAACACTATAGATCATAAATCGTAGCTGACAGGTATTTTATTGGGCCAAAAATTTTAAAAGTTCACACCCCTTCGGCCATCGCCTTTAAAATCGAGAAAAACAGCTAAAAAATGTACATATTTTTCAACTTGGTATTACAGCGCTCTCTATGTATTTTTTTTTTTTTTTAAATAATCCAGTTGCTTCTAAATTTGTATGGAATATTTTTTTAAACATAGTACTACCGATTAACATATTTTACAGACCAATAAAAATATCATAAACCTTTTCTCCCACCAGTATTTCCAGCTTAGATTTACATTTCGAACCGTCGTGAAAAGGCGAAGATGCGAAATAATACCAAATCAGTTATTATTTTTTTTTAAATTATGTATTTTCATTTTTGTTATTTGTTAGCAGACGAGCCGGGGCCCGCGTGTGGTGGCCGACGACATGTTGAAACAATGAAAGCGAGCGTTGGACAACCTAACCGCGTTTTCGCCAGATTTTAATCCACAGGAAAAACAAGAAGGTAGGTAGGTAAGAGAAGGTAACGTCAATTTTTTTATTTTATTTTTTTTCCGTACATTTACTAACACAGGAAACCTTATAATTTTGTTACCAGACACCGGAGGTAGGGAACCGTAAGCCACCGGCTATCGGGTTTCGGCAGCCGTCTAGCGTTACCGCGTTCCCATCGCATGTTACCAGGATATATTGTTGTACTCGCACGAAAGTTAAGGACAAATAATATGTATATATTTGTATGGATGTTTGTATTATGATATAAAACAATAAAATCGTGAATACAATCTCTCAAGTTTATACGAATTAAATAGGCGACGGAAACAAAAGGAGAGAACCGTACAATGATGCAAGTAGAGGTATTTTCCCCTCCGCGATAGAGAATATTATGGAAAACCACGTCCAGGAGTAAACGGATTTTTGTATAAATAATAATACAAAAACATCCACGCGAACAAGACCAACCGCAGTGTTTCCGAAACTCTTCTTCCGGCCATATCGCAAAATATGCATCATACACATCAGAGAGGAAAACTTTTTAAACATTTTTTTTTATAGTTTTTTACACATAAGTTACCGGAATCCCCGTGCACAAGTACTGGTTTCGTATTGGTGGGTGGAATGGTAATATTCAAAATCGTCTAGCACCATTTGAAACCAGTACTCAAAGATACGGGATGACTTCGTGTTATTAAGATTAAGATTTTCGTTACAACTGTATACCTATGTAATTGTTTTGATTCTGTGTAATTTGTTTAGTGTAAACATTAAAAAAAAAACAAAACCAAACTGTACTTGATTTATACAATTTATAAGACATATATTATAGAATTTAATTATGTAGTTTATTTATTATACAATCGGTGAAAACAAAAGTATAATTTTTATATGAATGTCTATAATATTTTCTATACATACTTATGTTATGCAAACATTTTCATTTGTGTACTTTTTCAAAAAAAAAACAGTTCTTCTCTGAAATCAAAATTCAATTTCACATAATTAATAGGTATTTTGTATAAACGTATTTTTTACAAACAATATTTAATGGTAATATTAAAATGTTGTATTTTATTAAATTCATTATACATATTTTATTATCATATATGATTTTTAGTTACACTAAGAAAAATATTTTTTTTAAATAAAATCGATCAAAGTTTTTATATGGGATAACTTATTGATACATAATATGCGAAGGTAAGTGACTTTTTTTACAACTTGAATTAAATAAATTAAAAAAACATATATACTATTAAAGTTATACATAAAATACAACTTAGCTTAGTTAAATATATTCTTTAAAATAAAAAACAATTTAAGTTTTCAGTTGAAAAACATAATAAGTAAATAATATTGCAACTTAATGTTATGATCCTCGGTACAATATTATGTTTTTCTAACTAAATGAATTTTTTTTTACATAATATAAAACTAAAAAAAAAGTTTTAATTTTACTTTTGGAATTAATTCAGGAGTTAAATGACACTTTTTTTGAATACCTAATAGTTTCAAAAGTGTGTTAACTTAGTTAAAAACTTTTAATAATTTTTTTTTTTTTTAAGAAATATGTGACAGCTGATATAAACATTTGAAATTTAAAAATTGTTAAAATTTCAAACACAGTCCTCTACTTAACATAAATGAATTTGCGTTACATCTTCTTATTGGGATATAAATTGATTTTTCGTCTAGAATCAGAATTCTTATCAAATCATTCATAATAAAATTTAGCAACTACATGGTTTAGAAGTCGAGGACTAAAATATATACTATTATCATAATATATGTTGTTATTTTCCGTTAAGCTTTGATATTATTGTACAATACGTTAGTAAATACAAATAAAATAAGCAAGTAATATGATGTATAAATAATACATTTTTTTTATTATGAAAACTGATGTAAGGCTAACATTAACTTTAGACCTTAATACAAAGAAGTTTTTCTTTTAAACAAAATAATAACAGCTTAACATAATTTCTACTTTAAGTAAACAAATTATATTGTTCTAGAGTACCAAAATTTATAAGTGTATTATGATAAGCATACTTGATTTAATATCTATTTTTAGTATATGTTGTCACTTTTTATGTTTTATTTTATAACCTATAAGAATTGACTGATTAAATATTTTTGTTAAAGGATGCCAAATATATTTTTAAAAAAAATACATTTTCCCTACCGATTTATAATTTTTAAAAAATAAGGTAATTTTTGTGAACATTTAATTACTTTGATAGGATTTTGAGATGGTCTAAATTGTACAAATTTTGTTACCTATAAATCTAAATGATATAACAGTATCATTTAAGCTGAAACAGTGCCCTCTTCGGCATTTGGTACACCTTGTTGCCTCAGCTTCTGTCTTCTCTGTAATAAACGTTTCTCTCTTTCATAGTCTTTCATACGATCAACATAACTGAAAATGGTCGTAAAAAATGATGTATTATATTTTAATAGAAAAAGATTACAAATTCGCTATTTGAAATCATACTTTTATTATTATAAACCTATACTCTGTTCTTATTCCAAACAGAGTATAGATTCTTTAATAATTAAAAAAAAAAAAATGTATTTTTTAATTTCAAAATCTGGATTTTTGTTTTTTATATTTATATTATTATAGTATGTAAACAAACAAAGATATTTGTGTGATTTTTCAATGTTAATTTGTTTGACTGAATTAATATTTTAATATAAGAGAGACTGCTTAACTTTTATAAATATAGTTTTAAAAATAATCGTACTTTAATATTGGTAAATTTATGTCAAAGTACAAATAATTAAGTTTATTAAATTGAATTTTAACCAAAAATAAATGTAAGTTTTTAGGCCTCACCTAAAAAACAATAAAAATCAATAGTAATTAATTAATTTTTTTGAAAAATGATATTTTAACTTCGGTGCGGAGCTGAGAAGGTTTTGTTTACACTGATGTGTTATTATAAAATTTTTTTATTTTTGTGTCTGGACCCACAATATCTCGTAAATCGCTGAATCGATTTCTTCATGTAACAACTCTATAGATCAGAAATCATACCTGGAAGGTACTTTATTAGGCTAAACATTTAAAAAAGTCACCCCTTCCCCATCAAAATTGAGAAAAACAAAAAAAGTTCCAAATTCATATGAATTGTTCTTCAAACAATAGATAGTACTATCGATAAACATTAACAAACCAAAAAAATATCATGAACTGTACTAGGGGTGAGACTTTCAAAATCTAGATTTACAAAAAAACAATGGATGCTAAATTTTTTTTTCCCTGAAAAAATACCTAAAAATTGTACCCATAATTAGAATTAAACTTTTTCATGGCTAAAACTATAGTTCAAATTCTTATAGTCCTACAACCACTAAACCCATATTATACTGTTTAGCTTACTCGTGATATTGACACTCATAATATTCTTCTCGCTCATGATGACAATGGTAATTGAACGGAAAATGTTCTCTTATACAACCTCTGAGATTCAACAACATGTGCGCACAAAAATCTCGAGCATCCAAAGGCATCTTCGCCGCTTCCATTTCAGCCAAAGACGCAATCATTTCTAAAGTACAAACATTGTAATATTTTAATTTACTTGTATACTTATTTCTACAAATTAGAAACACTAAACCAATATCGAATTAAATATTACTTTTTTCCCGTCTCTCCTGTGTAAAACCGAAATGTGGTTCGAACTGTGACGGCTGGTCTCGCAGCGGAGTGACTTCGGGAGCGACGTATTCAGACCAAGTATGACCCATTTTTTTTCTTTTTTATTATAAAAAAAAATTTGACGGTTGACAATCTGTCAAGATTGTCACATAGATGGGTAGTGACTAGTGTTTGTATTTTGTAAGTTATGAAAATCGAACAGAACTCGGATGCTTTAACTCGATGAACGTAAAATCTACAGTCGAGTGATAAGACTATCATGTACTTGATATCGAGGTGACCGTAGCGGTGACTGATAAAATTGCAAAAACTAATCAGCTGTTTAGGAAAACTTGTTGTCAGCTGGTTTTTTGCTATCAGTAAATACTAAATAGATAACGTCATAACGATAACAATTGGCAAATCTCTATTAATAACGTGAAACTACAAGAAATCACGGTCTAGGACAAGACAATAATTATCCTAGTCTGTGAAAATATTATTGTTTATGATTGAACTCTGAGATCCGATTATTAATTACTATTGATAAACCGTAAACGATAGAGTAATTAATTTAAATGTTGATAAACGATTGGTGGAGTCGTGGAGAATAAAAAGTGTATCCAATTTCAAGGGCGACTCATTTTTCAACGTATAGAAGGGTTTAATTTATATTAATTTTACGACGAGTATATCTAAAATTTCTTTGTTAGCCAAGTCACATTCTACGATTCCGTTGATCTGAAAAAAAAGAAGTTAACTAAATAGTCATTAGTAAACCAAACAAAATGAGTTTAAAAATCATACAAAACAGTTTTACGACTTCCAAGGTTTTGTAAGTATATGGGTGTCTTTTAATTTTTGACAAAATATTCGTTGCCAGTAAACAGTGAAAACGGCATATAAACATCTGCTTAAAAAATACTGTTTTTTGTCAGAAATTGTATGTGAAATTATTGTATACACAGCGTGAGATATTCTTCATATGTGCATATAAATATGTTAACCACATTACAGTATAATTAATATATGATTTTCATTTCAAATTCTAATTATGCCCATACTGAATGCACAACAAAGCTGTTGTATATATGTCACCTACAACGGTTTGTGCATTTAAATTGGTGTTTTTCTTATGTGTTTACACACTTATAGCGTAACAATCTAAACAAAAAAAATGATCTATGCTAATTGACATTTTTGCATATTACTTATAACTTCTGTAATTTTAATGTACAGTAACGGAATGAGACGTTGAAATATCGTTTGAGAATAAGCACTTATTCAGAGAACTTAGAGAGAAGATAGAGCCTGTTAAGATTGGAGAGAAGTGGTGAACGGAGTAGAGAAATTAATTATTTGAGATTATAAAATATTAATAGTTTTATAACTATTTTAGATTCAAACAAATGAATCCACTTTGGCCATGTTCAAAAATAATATCCAACAGATGCAGTACTACAGCAACGGAAACACCTATTGATTTTGACAACTTAAAAACTATGAAAGAGAGTAATAATAAATTAATTTAACACAAATTCAAGTAAATATTCATAAGGAATTTTGTATTTAGTCAGAGAAAAACTTAACAATATGATGGGCTTATCTGGGAAGTACGAACAAGAAGACAGAAGTTGGTTGTTAGAGCACTTGCCGAAAGCCCGAGATGAGTTACCGACCCGCACGATGAGTGTACATATCTGATATTTTAAAAATTGTTAAATACTTTAGTGTGTAAATTGTATTTGTATCTTAATTGTATTCAAAAAAATATTAATATGCAATTATCATTTTGTAGGACAGTTTCGATAGGGCCAAAGTACCGTTGAGTAGTGACATAATGTTACAAAACAAGTACACAACTACTTATAACAGTTTAAGACTTGGCAGGCTGTTGGAAGACATGGATTCGTTTGCGGGTAAAATGAGCAATTATTGTTCAATTACGTTTTAGTTGTTTATTTATAAATATTTCTGTATAGTATGGATTGTATTGAAGCATATTTACAATCCAAAAATTCCTAATGACGTACCAATTCCATACGTTGTTGTCACTTTACTAGTGGACGATGTTATCATCAGCCCCGAACGATATGTAACTAAAAAATATGTCAAAATCAAAATATATCATGTAGTTAGTAAATTTAATATTTATAATGAATATCCTTCACAGCCTGACAGAGATTTAATATTCAGTGGACTTGTATCTTATGTTGGGAAAACGTCAATGGAAGTTACCCTGTGGTTGGAACAGCTTCACGATAATAAATTAAAAAGAATCACAAAAGCTAACTTCGTATTTGTGGCCAGAGATTCCACAAATCGATTGTCAGTTCCAGTAAACTCGCTTGAGCCAAATGGAGAGTACGAGAAAAATCTTATGCATCTGTCATTAAGTATGGTATTTACCTAAGTATTTCGTTTTAACTATCTTATAGATTAAAATAAAATCAGCCCGCCAGTTGAGTTAGTAAACAATTTTTAAAAAATAAATGGATTGTTACAATTTATTATTTTATGTGCGACAAGACAAGCCAAATTAATTTTTTTCAGAAAGAAATGAAGAAAGAAAAAAAGCTCGCCAAGACTCGATCTTAAATAAAATGCCGACTCCTGAAGAACAATCACTGATTTACGAAACTTTTTTAAAAACTGTCAATGTGAACGAACCGATGTTGGGTAACAAAATTCTTCCACCGGGCAGTGTGTGGATGAATGATACTCAAATAGAAACCAATATTCTTTGCCATCCCGAAGTAAACTGCAGTTTTTATTAATGAATATTTTTCCAAAAATTAATTAACATCAATAAATATATTAATTTTGTACCTAATAGGATAAAAATTTACACAACACCATCTTTGGTGGCTATTTGATGCGTGTTGCTACTGAACTCGCCTTCCTAGTAGCGAGTGTTCATGGTAAAACCAGAGTTTCATCGAGAGCGATTAATAGTATTACATTCCGCAATCCTGTTCCAATTGGTAGCCGGCTAAAACTAATTGGAAAAGTAAGAGTTTGCATAGAAATCAAATTGTAGTTTTAAACTGTACGCCAAACTTGGGCATTATTTAAATAATTATTAAAAATAAAAATCTATTTAAGTAAAAACAAACATTAAATAACTTTTTTTTTTATCTGTTATTTTAAAAATAATAAGTTATTTGAAACAGTCAAACAAAAAATATTACTCGAAACAAAAAAAAAAAAATTTATTTTGAAATAAAAATTTTATTGAATTAAAAGTAAAATGTATTATTAAGTTGGATTATAGATAAAATAAAAAACTCATTATTTTCAAACAATTAGTTATTTATCATTAAAATTAAAAAATTTGCTTTACGAGTAAATTGCTATTTTATTTTATTTTAGATTTGCTACACTAGTGAAAATATAATGATAGTAGAAGTTATAGCTAAAGTCGAAAACATAGAAATGAAGAAGAGTTTAACTACAAATTCGTTTTACAACGTTTTCGTCACCCCAAACAATGTTGCTCCTGTGTTACCTCAAAGCTATCACGGTAAAGTTGTAAATTCTATAAAATGCAAATGAAAAGCATTTAAAGTAATGACATAGTAAAAGTACAATAACTGGGTCATTTTTGTTTTCAGACGCCATGCTTTATCTCGATGGTCGCCGAAGATATTTAGATGTCTACAATTCTTTGTGAACAAAGTTATGTGCAATTAAATCTATATTTATTTAGTTTAACAAAACATTGAACAACACATTGACTTAATATCACTATTTTGCTTACAAACTATGTTTTACCCTTTTAATGTATTACAATATTATTTAACAACAGGCTATTTTTTACTAGGCTATAATTCAAAAACCAAAATTTAGATTTAATACTTTCTTCAATGGCCTAAAGTTTAAGCTTGTACATTATTGGAATAATAACTGATCATTTTAAACTAACATAATTCTTAAATCTATAAATAACTTTCATCCTCGCTCGAAGACATGTCTGAAAAATGTTCCAATTGCTCTAACCACCATTCATGTATTTCTTTTACGGCACTAGACACTTTGGATGTATTAGTTTTTGTTTCACGCGTTGCAGAAGTTGAGGATACATTCAGATTTGACATATTCAAAGGTTTCAAATTTCTGTACGAAGCTTTACGATTCCTATCTTTGTCGGACGGGTCTGATAGCGTGGGCGTTAAATATCTACGCCCTGAACTGCTTCCAACACTATCGGAACGAGTTATTCCTGTAGTCGACTTCAGCTTTGAACGACTCACGTCAATCTAAAGGGAATAATTAAATTGTTTAATAATAATTGTACTTTGATTTGTCCAAGACAACCACATGTTAACAAATATTGTCTGTAAATATTAAGTATTAACCTGTTGTCTTAAAAAATAATAAATTAACATACTTTTATATCTTTGTCGTCAGGTTCCTTATCTTTGTTGGCCACTTGTTTCTCCTCGAAATCACGTAGTAGCATTTCATTGGTAGCCCGTAAGCCAGCTAAAAGGCTACCTTGTTGTCTCTGGTAAAAGTAAAATGATAAATGATTAAAACTTATTTTTTTTAGTTTGATTTGTATTTCATATTTATTTACATTAGCCGCTCTCATTTTGCGTAAACATCCTTCAAGCCAGTTGCGTATGGTTTGTTTAGCGACTTCTTCTTGAATGTTTAATTCAAAATCTTGACGTGCGACAAGTTCTTCGAGTTGAAGGGCTTTTGTTATGTCGACCGTACGATAAGACAACATGCTAAAACACAATCACAAATGATAAGTTTTACATTACATTACCGGTAATTTATACATTACTTTAAAACATCGTGGAACGTAACTTCCTGGCCGTTGTGAAGTCTTTCCAATTCGTAGCACATATGTTTTAACAGCATTTTACCTTTTTGTGGATCAGTCTCCAACCTGCCTTTCAGCAGACGTAGTAAAAACTTGACCTTTAATTAAAATAAAAATATATTAAATGTTACGTAATTTTATTATACCAAATTACTATCGGACATACTTTGTACACCTGAATGACACCGGCTTGTGTATCGTCAACAATATTCCAGGAATGTTGAAAATTTCTTATGTCTGCGTAAGACAGTAAGGCATCTTCTTCGTTGGAATAGAAAAGAGAAAAATTTTCCATAATAATAGCTATAGAAATAAAATAAAATGCCTATTTGATACTACTTATATTTTTAAAGGTTACACAGTATACTTTAAAGAGTTTTCCTCACCGACTAGAAGGTTAAGTACAATATATGTAATCATTACGTAAAACGAACAAAAATATATTAATGCGGCCGCATAATTTCCACAGTCTGTTTGCCAATAATTTGGGGCCGGCGTACATTGCGGCGGTAAGATCATACAATCGTGCATGATTTTGTTCCAATCTTCTCCCGTAACTATGCGAAACAACATAGCTACTCCAGTAACAGGAGTACCAAAATTTGCAAGTCTAGGTAATAAATATAATATAAAACAGTTTAGTTAAAAAAAGTGTGGTTGGGGAGGTTCAGAAATTATTATAGTGATATAATCACTTTTAGATAAATGATTCGATGCGAAACTGTAGTGATGGTAAATACTATTAAATATAAATAATTTCTTAAACAATAAATGTATTAATAGCTGTTGTCTTATTTTATTTTTTTCCAATAAAATACAGACGATTTCAATTAAAAAAATTATAATAATATGTTGTACAATTACATTTATTTTGATATATTTATAATTTATCATTTGTTTGAACGTCTTGAAAAAAACATTTTAAAAACACTACCTTTTCAGTTCCACATCTAAGCTAAAAATATATACTATTGTGTGATAGTTTACATACCTTCCAATACCTTCACCATATTTCACAGTACCAAATAATATAGTGCCGGCCAAAGCATACGAAAATACCAAAAGGAACATGCCAAATATAATAAAAAAACTCTTACAAACAGAAACGCCAACGGTCAACATGAGCATTTTTAGCGTTGCGTGTTTACCGGTTATGGTAAAAAATCGTAAGACAACGACTATGTAGCCAAATGAAAAGGACAGTTCATTCTATAACAAAATAAGATTATGGCTAAATAACGATCACAGTTCTAAATATTAATTTTATTTGTTTTAATTAAAAAAATCGTACATGGATTGCAAAATGAGTACATATCCAAATCACTCCCAAAACAGTGACTAAGAGATCGTAGCGATTACGGCGAGATTGCCAATAGCCGCGAGCAGTGAAAGCAATCATTTTCATAATTACTTCGACCACAAATATAAGTGTCAGACAAGCGCTGACCAACGACAATGATTCTGTATGTTTATCACCAGCTCGCCACTAAAAAAACAAACAGAAATAAAATTTTTGTCTTTGTTTCTCTTAAAAAAGTTAAAAGACATAAAAATTTTACCGAAACACACAACAGACAACTGTTAATGAGTACAATAACGGCAAAAAATCTCTTAAAATGTATCTTTTGCGTAATATCATAGATAAAAGCTCGAAACTTTCTGCGATCTGGTCGAGGAGGTAAATGAAGAGGTTGTGCAATTTTAAGTCTTTTCTTCAAGTCGCACCTATTATCACAACAAATTACATTATTATGTAGCAAGTCGTTTATTTTTCAAAATCCCTAATAAAGTAATTAATTTACCATCGCCTTTGGTCAACAGTCAAAAGGGCAGTTCCTTTGTTTTCTGAATAGTTTGCGATCACAACACCCACAAAAAGTGTAAGCCCAATCATACAACCCAAAAATATAAAAATGTGAATGTATATGGCGTGGACCTAAATAAAAGTAATATTAATTTAAATCTCATCATTAATGTATCTATTTTTTAAATATCATGCTTTTAAATACTATACTGAAAACAATAAATTATAAACGTAACAGCAAAAATAGAATTTTCAGATTAAAATAAATTTTGCCATATGGAATTTGTCGATAAAAAAACCCTATAAGCAAAACAGTAAACAAAATCATAACGAATTAAAAAAATCAAACATCTCCTCAAATGCATAAAAATAATATAAACAAACTTAAATATACAAATCATATACAATTTCAGCCATGCTTTTATCTATTCTGGAGCTAAACCCCTTCAGCATTTCAAACAACAAAGTTTTAAATATATTGCATGCTCGGTTATCCGAACAGAAAATATATTACTGGTCCTAAAGCGCTGATCAGTATATCCCGAACGTCCAGCCACCCTTTGAACGACAACACTTCAAACAGTGTCAGCATAGCATATCCTATATTATCGAAATTGAACCGTCTTGGGTTTGCCCTTCATTGGCAATACACAATTGCTCAAGTGATTTATTTTATTTTTTATGTTTTAAGTACGTATATTTTAAGAAAATTATTATTAAAAAAAATAAGATTTACCAAACTCTTGGCACTAGTATGGCAGGGTAAGATTCATTTGGCCCAGGTTTGATTTTCATTTTCGTGACAAACACTTGGCGCATAAATACTCCAACACAATCTTCACGTCGTTTAATATTTGGATCATTACAACGGGCTAATCGGCCCCCAAATATTTGTACGCCATAACTGGCAAATACAAACATTAAAACTATCAACAGAACAGATACCTACAAAAATACAATACAATATAATAATCATTTTATTATAAAAAAAAAATTGATACACTGCTTCGAATACTAACCAATAAGATTTCTTTGAAACCTCGACAAAGTTCATCGACTACTTTCCTCATGTGCGGCACTAGTGAAAATATACGTAATGGTCGTACACAACGACAAATCATCAGTAAATGTGCTGAAGAATTTGTAGCTACATTAGTTGGCATCCACCACAAAAACACTAAACTTGTCTGAAAAATAAAAACATTACAAGTAATCAGAATTGGATAAAAACTTTTCGAAAATGTATATTAAATAAGACTTAAATAACTGCTTTTTAAGTGAATGAAGAATAATTTTTATTTATGAGTAAAGTTAGGTTAGATTGGGTTAGCTAAGTTAAATGAACAGTTTTTCATATTTTATACAATTTATTTTTTATTCATGTATACATAATTTTTTTTCATGAACCATATTATTTATGAATAATATAATAATGAATACAATTTTTACTCATTGATAATTTTTTTTAAATAAAAATATATTGAATAATACTCATCTCTTCAAGTAATACTTAACTGAATAGTCACAAAAGAAATGCTTACCACATATACGAATACATCTAATATAGCGGCTACATCTTTCATGTACGCTTTCGGGGTGAAAAATACACCATCGGCCAGGATTTTTAGAGCTATTTCTATACTCATAAAGCAAACAAATACATATTCCGCTATTTGCAAAGCTGGTGTATTCATTACTTGATAAATGGGGGTTTCAAACATCATTGATATACAACTCAATGTTGTCACTAGTATCATTAACCAGTCTAAATAGGTGACTAATCCTAAGAAATTACTGAAAACCAATTTTAAAAGCAATTAAAAATTAATTTATAAATAGTATATAAATCATACTAAACCAATGAACTTACTGGAAACCTTTGTATTTAACCTGGCGTTCTTCGCCCGTAAGCGGATCTCTGAGTTTAAATTCATATCGAGCATACACGATCAATTGACAAAGTTTTCGAAATTTAGATTCCCTAGGAACAATGAATAAAGGAGTATCGAATAACGGATGGTTTTCACGCAAGTCTTCCTCTCGTTTGTTTCTTCTCATTTCGGCCTGTTGTCGTTTAGCCTGCAACAGTTTGATGTCAAGATCATGAGGCCGGGCTCTTGTCGCAGTAGCCAACCGATTCACATCTCCATTTTCCATAAGGTGCTCATAAGTCTGTTTAAGTTTTATGGACCCACGACGAATGCTTTGTCTCATCGATCTAGTGATATAACCATATTTATGGAAATAAAGAAATCCGCATAATTTTACGTGAGCAGCTTAATTACTTTTTGTGATCTATTCGGGTGTGCTGCATATTGTTGATGGTACCTTGGGTATGTAGACCCGCACCTTTGGGACCAGAATTTGGCGGCAAAAATGTTGAATCTCCCAACAGTAGACGTTGATTGTTAGAATCACTGTAATTGGTTAATCATAAAAATCAATTACAATTTTAATCCTAATAAATCTTAATTAAAAAACAATAATGGTAATATTAAAAATGTTAAAAGTTAATTGCTTAAATAATGCGGTATTTAAATTATATCTCTGAAAAATATATAAATATTATAATTCATAAAACTTAAACCTAGAAAAGTTTATGCGGTATTCATCTATACACTTCCAGATTAACATACCGGCCATAAAAGCGTTTTCACATTTTTAATTATTATAAGTTTTTTTTTTCGAATTTCAACACTTACTTGATTATGTTTGAAATTATGGCTTTACGATAATCTGGTGTTACTGTACGCACTTTTGGTGGATTAGTCAACAGTCTGACGGGATGGTGTTTGCGTGTCATCGATAGGGGTTTTAATGTTTCATTTGTGCTTTTCATACCTTCTAATGCAATTTCTTCATCGCTTTTGTCGAAGACAAATTGTTTCATAAAACTTTCTCGTACCTAAATATTTTTCATACATTTTAGAAACTATAACCAAACACTTTAAATTAATATTCCTAATTATACTTTTGGCAGGTTGAATTCTGACGGTTGTTTATGTATAGTGGTCATTTTTGGACGATCTGGAAACTTTTCGAAAATTCTCAGGCGAAATGGTAATGTTTCTTTGATTTCAGCACTTTGTTCACGGAAACGTAATTGTTTGAGCTTTTTTAATTCTTCGTCAAGCTCAAGATTATCCAAAATGACAGCAACAAAAAGACTCAGTACGATCTATAAATAAATATAAATGTGTCATAATTAAAAGCAGTGGTGGAAGAATGTATATTCTCATCTAAATTATAAACTTACCAAAGTCACAAATAAGTGGTAAAGTATAAAATAGACTGCGACTAACGGCACCAGGGCCTTGCGAGTACGTAACATGGTTTCATCCATTACATCCACCCACGCTTCTTGTGTAAGAATTTGAAACATTGACATAAAAGCCTGCAAACGATAAAATAAATACAATATTGATTAATATGAAGATAAATTAAATTAAATTAAATGCACTCACTTCAGGAAAAGTTTCAAATTTGGAAAAATCGCATAAGAAACAGAAAAGTTGCATAGAAATACTCGACGAAATTATCAATAGACACATTGTAAATATAATAAGACTGCCCAGTTTTTTACCAGGACCAAATATTTTGTAAACAAAATCTTCTAACATTGGTGAAGCTTTTATGAGTCTTACAATTCTTAAAACCTAAATAAAAATAAGTACAAAAATAAGGTGTTATAAAACTATGTTGTAACACTTTATATTACAGTACTATTAGAAGTTATAAATTATTTCAATAATTTAATACAATAAAAATAAATATATTTTATTGTTCGAATAATTGATTATTTTTAAATTTGTATTCTTGCTATTTGTTATTTAATTTAAAAATATCTATGTTACAATCTAACTATTGGTAAAAGAAATCACTAAATCATTTAATACCTGAAAATAAGTTAAACCCGACAAATAGAATTGAGGTACAATGTGTAGCGTAGTACCAATTGCAAGCATCAACTCAAACTTATGGTAAGAATGTTTAAAATATTCTTTAAAACCGAGTAAACCCATTTTGAATAGCGTTTCCAAATTGAATACCACAGTGTACACAACCTAAAATTAAAAACTTGTTAACACAATACTAAATAATAAAAACACAAAGTCTTAAAATAAAATATTACTTCAATGTAATAGTATTTTTCGTAAAAAGCATGACGGGGACGTCCATCGTGTTTAAAGTTCATAGTGGCCATCGCAATGCCATTACTAAGTATTATGCACATGACGAGTAATCGGAACCAAGCTGAGTTGAGAATTTTATGTCCTAACGGCGATGCTAATTTTCTATGTTTATTTTGTTCTGGGGTAACTAATCGCCATCCGTTTTCATCGCTAACAAGTATCTGAAATGAACAACGTTTTTAAAGTATTAAAAATATAAGAATAACAAAATTAAAAAACTAAAAACACGCTTGTTCCAATTTACAATGTTAAAATGTAAAACTATTACCTCGGTAGACGTTTTATTTCCAACGTGTCTTCTTTGGCCCCATAACTGTTGAAATTGAACTCGCATTTCATTGAATGTCTCCGTGATGACAGCAATGAACACATTTTTTACCAGCCAAGCGAGGAAAAATATTAATGTCGAAAAGTAAAATATAGCTCTCCAGGCAGGAAGACTGTCGAACGTTCGGAACATAATGTACACCCAACCTTCTTGCGAGGCTGCTTGATAGACGGTAAAAATACTGGTGGCTAAAAAAGTTGTATTACATTTTTTCTATATTATTATTAAATCCGTGTACATAAAATGAAATACAAAGATTAGTGTGGCAATTATACTTGCCGAATTCATCGAATCCACTGAAACCTGTAATGTATCTCGATAATTCTAGTTTCATGCATTTCATACCAGTTGGGCATTGATAACCTGCACCCGGTTCTGTAGAGCAAAACGTATCTGGTATAGCCAAACTGTTTATAGTGACATGCCTAATGACATTAAAAAAAAATGTAATACAATTAACCTTTGAAAAATGAAAAAAAAAATTATATTTATACTTTGGATCGGTTGTATTCAAAACACAGTGATGTTTCATTTCACCAAATAGTTGAACGCCGAGTACACCGTATAATGACATAAAAAACAGGAAGAACAATGTAACATTGTAAATTTGTTGACTCGAACGCCTATAAAATTAGGAATTATTATATTGTTATGCAAACCAATATTTTAGTAAGAGTTACTTGAAAATTTGGTTTATTCTAGATTTTGGCATGGAGAATTTAAGGAAGACTCGTATGAACCGGATCATAATGAATGGTCTTGGCGCACGTAATATCGATAAATAACTATATTCAGGCGAATCGACTACGATTTCGAAAATTTGCAATATTACTGACACCCAAAGAAAAAACACCATCGTGGCATCAAATTGGCACCAGTGGTCTTTCAAGTACGGAGAATCTCCCTGAAATAAGACAATTTATTGATGTTGATATGAATTATTTAAATTATTGTTACAATACCTTGTATATGCCACGTATGTGCATTTTGGCAATCATTTCGGCGGTGTAAAGACCGGTGACCGCAAAGTCACATACAAATGTGGCAAACTTCAAGTAATAAAATGTCTGGAATGTTTTCGGAGTGTTCAGACTAACACACAACAAGCTGAGCAGAGCGCAAAAGCGCATTAGTCTTCGAACCCATAACTGAAAACAACATCAATTGTAAATTATATCAACTCTTTGGACTAAAACCCAAAATAGGCAAAATTACCTTGTTGACCCAATCGATTTCTGCACTTTCGTTCAGCGATTCTTCCTGAACGTAGTCAGCAGCCATCATATCGATCCGAATACTTTGCTTACGGCCCAACATGCTCACACTCTTTGGGTTTACACTTTGCATGGAGGTTTACATTTCACATATAATAAATTATGTTTGTTAATTGTTATAACGTAGTTATATCGTTGGGAGACCGTCAAGTATGTCATCCATTCTAACATTTTTAACTTATTTCGAAGATAAACATTTCGTCGACAGACGTAAGTTCAAGTAAAGTTGACAATTATTATTGATTTTAACAAATAACAATTGACATTACTTGGAAATTGGTTTTTGGAATACTTAAAGATTAAAGAATCATTACTGATTACTATTGTCATATGACTGTTTTGATAGGGATTTTCACAATATGATAACGAAAACCATGGATGAAAAACCAAAATCAAAATTATTTTGCTAATAATGTTTTACCCATAGACCTATCTTTATAGGTCTATGTAAAGAATACACTATTCTTTATCTCGATGGCTGTCTATAATAATTGTTATCATATGAAGTACACCGGTTAAATGTTTAGTGATAACAAAATTAGATAACAGAAAAATACACGAGTTGTGCAAAGCGGCTATGATTCACCAGTTTGAAAATTGTCGGTAAAGTTTAACAAGTAAGTTAGGCTTTGTTTGAGAAAAATTGGATTTTTTTTGACAATGTATTTTATACTTAAGCCATAATGTACTCAGGTACAATTTTGCGCACGCACCTAAAACGTTTGTGTCGCACTTACTGTCAATCGTCTTCGCTGGCCAAAAATGACAGTATTTACGATAAAATAGTCTACAGTTCCGTGTTGGACAGCAAGAAGCTGGTAAAATATTGGCGGGATGTTAAAGTAAAACAAAAATCGAGAAAATTGGTTGCAAATAGATTTGACGTTGAACCCATATCGTTACAATACTTGAACGAGTACACTGAAGAAGATGCAGCAACATCAAATGAAACGGAAAGTGCGTCCCCAGCTAAGCCCTACGTGTTACCATTCAGTATTGTAAGCAAATATGAAAAAACAATGAACGATTCGACAGAGGACGGCCTAGTTGACAACAATATAAATCATGATTGTGAGTACTTTTAAAAAAAAATGTATTTAATATACCCATTACAAGATAAAATGTGGGTGTTAAGTAAAATAAATGTTGCTTTCAAATATGATTTGAATTAATGTCAGTATGTCTTTTTTTGTTTCTAATAGATGAAATGGAACAGTGGGGTGCAAAACGTTGGATGAGCGATTACGAATGCTACGAAGAACGAGATCTAGACTGCGAGGATATTCTGCCTTCGTGGTCATCTAAATATGGTACTCCTGATCCATTGATTGAGATTAGTGACGTACCGTGCGGAGGATGCGGGGCTCAACTACAATGTCAAAATCCGTCTATACCGGGATATTTGCCCAGTGAGTTGTTCTGCCATTGCGAACCGGCTGACTTGAAGACAATGGTGTGCCAACGATGCCATTTCATGCAAAAATACAATACGGCTCTAGCAGTACAAGTGGATCCGATTGACTACCCTAAACTGTTGGCTCCGTTGAAAAGCAAGCGAGCTTTAATTATTTTAATGGTTGACTTGACCGATTTTCCATGTAGCATATGGCCAAACATCTGCAATATAATTGGTAAAAATAAGCCGATCGTAGTGGTTGGTAACAAAATTGACCTGCTGCCCGGCGATTGTCCTGGTTGGATAGATAATGTACAAAAAACATTTGCTGATAGTCTACCCATGGATATCAATGTTAAGCATGTTGCTGTGGTTAGCGCCAAGACTGGATTCGGCATTGAAGAACTAATAAACAAATTACATAGTATTTGGCAAACCAAAGGAGATGTTTATTTGATTGGGTGCACAAACGTCGGCAAATCCACAATGTTTAACACTCTATTGCAGTCTGATTATTGTAGGACTAGGGCCGTGGATTTGGTTCAAAGAGCTACGACATCTCCTTGGCCTGGTACCACTCTCAATCTACTCAAAGTAAGCTTTCATTATTACATTCCCCCTCCCCCCATTTGTAGCGTTGATATAATTATCATTATTTTTCAGTTTCCTATAATGCGACCGTCAAACTGGAGACTATATTTAAGGACTCAACGTTTAATGCGGGAAAAGAAGCAACACATAATAGAAAAACAATTGGAAAACGATCAGAAGAGATTATCGAAAATGAAAATAAACAATGTGCCTTCAATTATTGGTAAAAAAAATTGATTATAAAAAAAAAATGTATTATTGACTGTTACAATTACGTGTAATAGGTCGCCTTGGTCAAACATTTTACAAGCCGAAAGGAGCTAGTCATGAAAATGAAAAATTGGATCCGTTTTCATCGGATTCCGCTATAATTGATCCGAATCGAGTTACTAGTAGCACAATAGGATTAGACGATAAAGACCCCACGCTTGCTCACAGCAAATGGTTGTACGACACTCCGGGCGTGGTTCATCCGGATCAATCCATCAACTTGCTTACAACCGAAGAGTTGATGTTGTCATTGCCTTCTGCTTCGATTGAACCTAGAACGTATTGTCTGAGATCTATGCAGACGCTATTTATCGGCGGGCTCGGACGTATAGATTGCTTGAAGACTGAAGCTAAGTTTGTGCGCTTCACGGTTTTCAGTGCTCGCACACTACCGATTACTGTTTGTCATACGAGTGACGCTGACGAGCTATACACAACACTGCTAGGTTCCGATCTATTAGCCGTTCCATGTGGTAGCAACGACAGGCTTTCCAAATGGCCAGGTCTACATTGTTACAAGAAAACCATTGAACTTAGAGGGATTAATGAAAAAACTAGTTGTGCCGACATTGTTTTGTCATCGGCCGGTAAGTCCTACAAAATTCTTAAATTAAACTCGACTGGCTTACAATATTGTGTGTATTTTCACAGGATGGGTTTCCGTGTCACCGTTTACGAATGACGTATGCAGCCTTCAGGCCTGGACACCCGAGAGAAGAGGCATTTACGTACGCATACCGTCGTTGTTGAAATTTGCAGTAAACAACAGAGGACCGAGAAAAAAATTCACTCCGACTTACCACCCAAAAAAATGAAATGCGAATTACATTTGATATTGTTACATAATATATTAAAATATAGTTTAATATTTTCTATTAATAAACCAACGGCCGTTTTTATACAATTGTAAAAAGAGTCATTTAAACTTATTTCAGTACATTTGGAATCACATTCGTTTTATTCAAATACATACGTTGGAGATTAATCTTAAAAAAACATACTTAATCTTAACTATACCGAAGGCAGAGTTACCACCTGTTATAATAGGTATTGTCAATTGATTTATTTTAATTTAGAAAAAAGTATAATGTATAACAGGTGTTTTTTTCTACTTTTCTATTTGAATATTTTGACCTTTTCGAAAACCTTAGACTTCTTTGGCCAATTTAGTCCAATTTACACCACTTGACTGACCTATTATTATTTTATTAAAGCATAATATGTATGCAGTATGCACACCAAATGATACTTTTGTCAACTCGGTTTTCAATGTGGGTAATAAACAGAAATTTAAGTGGTGATTCAGTTTTAATTTAGCACAAAGTTTGCGTAGAAGGCAAATTGAGTTAAAATGAAAACCTTGGGATTAAAATGTTTATAGAGTAACCCAATCGTAGAAAAGAATTTGTTTCTATTTTTTTTCATAATTTTTAGTCTAAAATAGTTTTTTCCTCAAAAAGTATTGGAAGTATTTTGTTTATTTTAAAACTAATAAGGGCTTTATAAAAATTATTAATTGTTATGAATAAAAATAAAGTTAAAAGTTGGAGCCTTTAAATCTAAATTATTATTTTTAAAAAATTAATTTTGTTTTAAAAAATACAATTATTTGCTTACGATTGACATAAAATACTTTACATAATCAAAAGTGTAGGTACTAAAATATATATATATATATTTTAAATATTAAGTATTTAAAATAAAAGCACATTAATATATATATAAAAAAAAAGAAATATATTAAGTATGAAAAAAAAAAATGGGTTGTTGAATTGAATTAACTAAATGTCCAGTCAACAATATTTATTCAAAGAAGTCTTCCAACATTTTTTGTCGCTAGTACATACTTACACATTATAACAAACATTTTGACCGGCTTGTTTTTTTTTATGTTACACACTTAATTATACATTAAGTTATAACATAAATTAAAAAAAACAGGACTTTAAACGGATTACAATATACAAAATCGGTAATACCTACCCAAAAAAAAAACACATCTCAATTTTTTCTAGTAACCGTTAAACGATATTAAAAAAAAAAAAATTAATAAATATATATATATATATTTATAATAAACAATTACAAATCGAGTATTGTTAATACATATATTGTATGTTTAGGTTTATTTGATTAAAAAATCAGTAAGCTATCCATACAAAAAAAATTAAATCCGTCCAACAGATGTGAGGTGATATTTTTTTATCATAATTTCGTTTTAACTTTAACTAAATTCAAGAAAATTGATTTGACTAGTAAAACATAGTGTTCATTTAGCCTTAAATAATTAGTTGGCATGTTTAAAATGAATCTTAGATTATCCATGATAAATATTGCCTATCTTTTGCTCCTTAATAAATTGTACTTGCCGTCCCCTTAAGTATAAAAGTAATTTGAGTGAAATCCGGGTTGCAAAAATCAAATGGGGTAGGTAGGTACCATTTTACGTGGAATATACCATATATATTTTTCGTTATAAAAAATAATCGATTACTTTTCTGTTAAATTGTTGGTGTAATGCGAAAATTCCATTGAAACAAATATATATATTATAATTATTAAAAAAAACTTGTACTAGATTTCACGGTCATTTACTGAACGGTAATAAATTTGTATTTCCGACAAGGCGAAACAACACGAACGCCAGATAGATGTATTGTTATCTAAATGGATACCTTAATAAAAATAATTCATAGTTATCAAATCGGTAATAAATAAGCAAAGTAAAAAAAGGCGAAATCAAACTACCGAAAGTGTTAATTTAGACGATATGAATTATGAAAATAAACACATTTTTGTCATACTTGGACAAATTAGTAGTGCAAATACCAGAAAGATAAAAAATTAGTACCTACACTGAACTTAAAAACTTATATAATTTTTTTACAGACTTGACATTACTATGCTCACAAGAAATAAAAGACAGAACCAAGAAATTAGTTGAAAAATACTTTAATGTTCTAGCAAACGAATTAGGTGAATTATCAATTTCCAACAATCTATTATAGAACTAAACCCCATAAAGGTCAGAAATAAAGTCACCAGCAAACTAAGAGAAAGAAAATGATTGCAACGTTTCCAAAGTTAGACACACAGCATTAAAATGTATTTAACAATTATTCTCCTATGTTCGGTATTTTAAAAAGAGTAAAGAATTATTCAAGCAATTCTTTTTTGCAGATAAAAATGTGTCGAGTTTAGCGTGCATCAGTGCAAATTAAGAATTGCTCGATTCTATGAATTTGAAGAGTTAGTAGAGAAGTTTGCTGCGTATAATTAATTCAAGAAAACGTAAAACAAAATAATTTAATATTAATTATTTGCGACAAATTGTGTACGTTGTATGTTACAACTTATAAAAATATTAAATTGTAGTTTTATTTATTTCAATGTGATTTTTTCTCTTGTGACTTGAAAAATCATTTTCTATCGTAAGGCGCTGTTTTTTCACAATATCTCGAGGGCCCAAATTAGATAAATCCCACGCTGCCGATATTACATTAAGTTAAACCTATGATTTTTGTATTTACAATGATGTGTTTTTATATTTTCGTATCTGTACCCACGATATCTTTTAAGCCAATGAACCGATTTCTTCGTGTAGCAGCTCTCGAGATCACAAATCGTACCTGGAAGGTACTTTAAAAGACTAAAAATTTAAAAAGTTCATCGTTTCCCCTTAAAAATCGAGAAAAACACCCGAAAATTTACATTTTTTTCAACTTAAAATTACGGCGCTCCATATATTTTTTCAAAATAGGTGAGTTTCAAATCTGTATAGAATATTCTTAAGACACAGTACTACCGACAAACGTTGAAAACCTTAACAATTGTCGTACACCATTTCTCCTAGAAGGGGTGGAATTGTTTTCTTTCTTTCGCTTTTTCATGCAAAGTTTTAGGGGTTTATGTATGTAAAATTAGACCAAAGGTAGATGTAGAATGGGGCTATGACATAATATACAATTTGCTCAAAAATCTGTAGTGAAACATTTTTTTTTTATTAAGGAAAAACCGAAAAATTACACTTTGACCGTAGTCGGTTTTCATCGGCCAATTCCCACGTGAGAGCTACTTAGATAGGTGCGCAGTAAGTCTGGCGTTCAATTTATCGGTTAAGTGCGATTCTGAAAAAACGCTGTTTGCTTTTGTCGCTCAATTTACACACTTCCGCCAGGCTTACCGCTATCTCCACTTACCCTATATTGTAATTGTCGGTTGTGCGCTGTACAATAATTTATTTTCCCACTGGCAGTTGCGCTCCGCACGTTTGTCGGCCTTGCCAAAACGCAGGGCCTGTAATTGGTCGCCCGGTTGCCTATTTATATTTTATTATCACGGCAATAGCTTGCAACGGCATGCCGCAATTGAATAATTGACCCGAGCGTTCGTCAATTGAATACGTCCGGTCCGCCGAAAGAGCCGCGCACATAGTCCCTGATTTTGTTCACTCTTGTCGAACAGTCTACGACGGACCGGCATCTCGACTTGTTGTTCTATTGCGGTGTGTAAATCTGAAATTCGCCTTCGCTTTGCAAAAAAGAAATCCGAAAAGTTTCATCGACAATGCGTTATACAATCCTAACGGCTTACGTCGTCGCCATGTTGGGCGCGCAATGCCGGAGCGACGCCGACGGTCTGAAGCACATGCTGTACAACTTCAGCCGTCTCAGCCATTACATGGACGTGCTGAAAGTGGACATGGACCGGCTCAAGCCGCTCATGGACGGGCCGCCCGACACGCGCATGGAAAACTACTACGCGGTGCTCAGCACCAACATGAACCGCGTGAACCGCTATTGGTATCTTTATCTGGACGAAATCGACAGGGAGGACGGCACGTACAGCGTCCCGGAGCGCATGAAACTGGTGTCGGCCTTCAAGGATCTGACGAGGAAACGCGAGGTGTTGTCCGCGTTCATGGACGAGCACAAGGTGCTGATGGACAGGAAGCGGTTGAAGGCGCAGCAGGCGCTCTACATGCGCAAACTGTTCGCCGAACAGTACACCACGCCGTCCGTCTCGGCGGACGCCGTCTAGAACGCGCGACGCACTACGGTGTTCGTAATATAGCAGTATGTCGTTTTTTTTTTTTTTAAATCTACCTATCGCGTCGTCGTCCTTGTAGATCGTCCCTGTTGGCGGACTGGCCTGCGGCGAGGCCATTATTGCACGAACCGGTGACTCGGCGCGGCGGTATGATCAACATTTATAATATCAACGCTTGACGACATATTTTTTATGCATACATATTAATATGTTTTTGAATTTACATTACATATTTTAGTCTATTAAGTACACTTTTATTCGATGTGTAATACAAAATAAATTAACCGTTTTCTGTACAAGAAATTAACTGTGTCGTCCATTTTATTACCATAAGTAAGACTAAGATGCAAAAAAAAAAATTAAAATAAAAACAGCCCGAAATAGCGTAAAAAAAAAGCTGTTGACGTGGAAAATAATGATAATTAACCCCGGTAGTCCGCGAGCAGCTTTAGAAGTTTGGCTATTGAAACAAAAACGTGATGTTGTTCAATTAATATTGTCGTCACAGACAGTTTTGATTGCCGTTTGTTGACATTTGGAAAAGTGTACTCGGGTACTTACGGTACAAAGCGATTTTTGAAACGACAACCAAAAATATATATTTTGTGAAAATATAAGACCGATTCGGACTCGGCGAGAATAATATATTCTATAAAAAAGGTTTTCGTTTCAAAAAAACGTTCAAATTTTGTTGAACTTCAGCGTTTTATCGCGACAGATTGTGTTCCAAAAAACAAACAATTCCAAATGTGACATCGAAGAACTGCCGAAGAGAGTTTGTTATTAATTTTGTTTACGAGTTTAATTGACAAAGCCAACAATTATCATTAACGCAAGTCGTATACCTGGTAAAAAATATTAAACA